AGCAGAATTCAATCACGGCCGTCGGTTAAATGGATGCTTTGAATCCGATGGTGGTGAAGGCCCTCTTGGTGGGTCCCATGGGGTGCTCAATTTCACCTACCGACAGGAATGTTATGGGAGGGGAGAAGATATATTAGAATTTAGGAGGTGGAACTATGGACCGCTCCACAGTGCACAGTTTGTCTGTTTAAATGCCATTCAAAACATGTATTTTTGCTTACCATTTCTTTTTATTTTTTGTTTTCTCTCTTTGTGTTTTTTTTTTTTTTCAATTTTCTTTTTGAGTTGAATTTATTTGAGGTCCCTAAACTTTTTCTCTTTCTCTAATTAGTCCGAGGCCTTTGTAAAAATAACATAATAGAAAAGTTTTATTTATAAAATGACAATTCAAAAATTTTTATTTGCAAAATGATTTTTCTGTTTTTTTTTTTTTTTTTTTTGCTTTTTCTTAAAGCTACGAGCGTAGAAGAAAGCTCACCAAAACAAACCACAATCCACAACCATGGCGTTCATGATCACCCTCTCTCCTTCTCCTTCTTCTCCATCTTCTTCAACTGCTCTAATCTCGGTTTCCTTTGTTTGGAGTGCTTTGCTTTTGGATTGGAAGCTACCAAAAAGGTTGAAGAAAATAGAGAGAGAAAGAGAAAGAAAAGAAGAGAGAGAAATGGAGTGCTGCCATTGATTCCGGCAGAAGGAGACCGACAGGAGGAGAAATAAATAAAATTAAAATTAAAAAATTCATTTTCCTAATTTTATTTTTTCACTTGATTATTTTAACCAAATTCTCTAATTAGTCATTATACTACAAAGTGTTCTATCTTAAATCCTAAACTCTTTCAAGTGTCTTAAATTTAGTCCATTAGTTACATTCTGTTAAATTTTGAATGAAAAAAAATTAAGTAATCTTATAATTACACCCCAATAAATATTGCCCTCTATTCTCCAACAATTTCCTCTATTTCCCTGGCTTTTCTCTTGATCTGTGGACGTATTTGAATTCAGAACCCAGGTTTCTAACACACATAAGTTCAAATGCCTGATGTTATGCATTCACCTTATTTAGTGGTCCCAATAACCCACAAGTTTTTGTTCTTTGCTCTTCTTGCCATTTTGTAATTGAAATAGCAATGGTATTTTTGGATGCTTAAACTAATGCAGAAGTATGGTATAGTTCTTGAACTTTGAAATGAAAAGCAGTAATCGCTCTAAACTTAATAAAATTAGATAGATTAGATAGATAACTATAAGATACTCAAAAAAATAAAATAAAACTTCTAACTAAAAAACAAGACAATAGATAAAAAATATGATATGAATCTAAAATAAAAAAAGAAAAAAAAAGTTGAAATTAAGAGTAATAGAAACTATTTACTCTGGTTATACTTTTTATGTTTTGGTTCATTTGTACTAATTTTACTATACTCATTTATTGAGGCGAAATTACAAATTACCTAATTTTTTCCATCTAAAATTTAACAGAATGTAACTTATGATTAAATTTGAGACACTTAAAGAGTTCAGGGTTTAAAATATAACACTTTTTAGTAAAAGACTAATTATAAAAAGAGAAAAAAGCTCAGGGACTTCTGATAGATTTAACTCTTTCTTTTTGGTGAGGGGGACAGGAGCCATGGGGTGCAGAATTCCTCCATTCCGGTTGACCCTTTGCACTTCGAATTATGGCATTCTTTTTGTTATTAAATCATTCAAAGGATGTGTCAATATCTTTCATTCTCTCTCTCTCTCTCTCTCTCTCTCTCTCTCTATATATATATATATACACATTTGTATTGTATGCTTAACTTATTTGTTTTCTGAGAATAATATGCTTTTCTTACTAGTAAGAAGAATACTTTTCAGCTTAGAATCAACACAAACATCTTATAGAGAGTAGTCTCACATGAAGAGGAACTAGTGTTTATGTCCAACGTTATAGATTAGAGGAGTTGAATAGCATTGCTCATTATAATAATTTGAAAATATGTTTAGTTTTTTCAGAATTTTATTAGACAATGTTTCTCCCATTGTTTTTTTTTTTTTAAACCACATTTTACTGTGCGTGAAACCAATATTAAGTGCTAAATTATCATAAAGAAGTTTAAAATCTATTATAACGTGAGAAAAGTCTGGTTGCACTTTTAAAAAAAAAAATTTATTTATGTGACATCACATTAATAAACAGAAGGAATTGGATTAGAAATTTTGGATCCAAGTACTGTCTACAGTCTACACTCATCATAAACACCAAAACAAAAAGGAGATAAGTTAAAGGTCTAGTCGTGCCAATCTCTTAAAATTCATCATGTGAAAGCTATTATGTATGGCATAAGCAATTCATATATAGTCTGAATGAGATAGAAACAGAGAAAGCATAATTCATGATTTAACTCGCATGCGCTAATATTATGCACAACATTTTTGCTTATTATTATATGACAATTAATATATATATATATATATTGTTAGTTTACCGATCCATCTCAAAAGCTTAAGCTATTAGAAGGTTTATACTTTAATACTCTCCCTCACGTGTGGGCAGGACAATAGATAATCGTGTGGGTAAATTAATTAGAGAGTCCAACATGTGAATATTTAAGCCGAAATATATTAAAAACCCAACACATGATGACAATTTAAATTGGGATAAAGAGTGCAATTATGGAGATTTGAACTCATGACCTCCCGCTCTGATACCATGTTAGTTTACCAATTCATCCCAAAAATTTAAGCTATTAGGAGGTGGACCAACAATAATTTTATACTTTAACATATATATATATATATATGCACATATGCATGTTTTCACGTGGTGTATCTTTATGAAAAGGACATTTCTCGCAATTGAGATGTACTATAATGATAATAAAGATGCAGAATAAACACAACAAAAAGAATAAATAAATAATAAAGACAAATGTATTGCAACGGACACCCTTTTGGCTTAGTTTAATAAGCGCTTCGTTATTTATCTATTAACAAGAAAGCATTTTGCACTTCTTTTTTGTTATTTTTTTAGGGAAAAAAGGAAACGAAAACACAACTCAGCCATTTTCTGTCTCAAATATTTCTATAATTAATTAGTCGTAAATGGACAAACCACTTTAGAGTTGTCATTGTACACAAACAGGGAAGAAAATGCTACTTGAAATTCCATAAGGCATAACCTGAAGTGTGATTTAAACAGTATTACCAAATAATTATTAAAAAAATTTAGACCTAAAAGGCTAGTACATTGTTTGGTTGACATTCTCCACCGAAAAAACAAAAAATCTTTTATAATGTAGCTTTTAAGATCATAAGAGACTAGGAAAAAGAAAAGTTAGATTAAAAAAGGGAGAATGTTTTCTCCTTGTCTTCTGAATTCTTCCAAAAGGAAATTGGTTTTTGTTTCTCGTGAGAGCTTGTATGAATCATGCATCCAATAGGAAGTCAAAGAAAGCGTTTACAAACAGTGGATCTGATTATGAGGGTAATTAGGTGTTCACAGTTTAACTTTTTGGATTATGACCCTCAAAAGAAATTAAAAGCAAAAGCCAAAAAGAGTCTAAAAGGAATGGGAAAACTTTCCGACATTCCTTTCTCTATGGCTTTGTAATTTGGCATTATCCCCCCAATTTATGTTGACCTTAATTTGTTTAATTTGAATTAGGCCGGCTTTGAAACTAACTAATCCACTAATGGGGTGTTCTCAATTATCTAGTTTGATGTGATATGTTGTGGCATTGCTAGTCATGGCAAGATCAGAATTGTCTAAAAGTAAATTAGGGGAGGCGTACGGATATTGACCGATTGAGTCATGTTGTGCTTGTGCCTCATGGTCATGCATTCAGATTTCAAAGTTTCCCATGGGGTGGCCCCATGCAGTGGTATGAACACACCTTCCTTCGCATTAATGGGCTTCACACTTTGACTAACTTTTTTCTTCTTCTTTTTTTTTTTTTTTGTTTTTTTCTTTTTTGGTTGGTTCATACTGTTTGGTAAGGGTGGAAAATAGAGAGAAAAGATGAGCACAATTCCAACGTGGAGAAAATAAAAAGGAGTGAGTGAGCTTTTCTTTTTTATTTGATACATTATTTGTTTTGCCATTTTTTTAAATTTTTTAATTTTTCTTTCTAAAATCAGAAGGATTAGAACAACTTTTTTCTTCGCAATTTCCTGTCTAAGAAACAACCCAATATTCCCTTTTCTTTCTTCTGTAATCCCTCGGCTACTTTCTTTCCTCTGCGTTTTCAATTCTACCAAACACATGCTGAGTCTAAAATTTAATCTGACGCCAGTTGGAGGTATGGCTCAAACTCGACCAAGGATGAATCCAAATGGGATCCCACATAAAGGGCCTATTTAGTTCGTTGATTCGAGTTGAGATGTGACTTTATGTGAAAATTTTTTACTGTAGGAAAAAAGTTAAATGTGACTGTTTTTTAGAACTTTTTACTGTAACAAAACTTAAATTTTAAACTCGAATCGGTAAAATGAACATGAAGAAGATTTTGGCTCTTTATATTGCAATATACAAAGATGAAGCCTGATTTTTTTTTTTTTTTTAATGGATAAATAAGCCTGAAAGCTTTTTCTTCAACGTGTTTTGGACAAAACACAACCTCACAGATAGAGTGGGTACTTCAATATGGACCTTTGATGGAATACATGGAGCACACACTTTGGGCCGTATCACCTAAAGAAGCCCTTTCTACTACTGATTACGCAGTTTTGGAATAGAATTAGGCCCAATTCTTCAGTTGGCTATTTACCAAATCACTACTGTTCGTCGGCTTTCTGCGGTATCAGTTCAGATGATAGTTCGTTGTTTTAATGCAGATTTGTAGTTACGTTTATACACTTTGGAGTTGATCTTGCATAACATGATAAGACTCAATGGTCAGAGCGAGAAAGGGATTGTTAGCGTTCGTGATTTGCATAATCTATTATGTCACTTGCTGCTACAGAAGAAAAAAGAGTATTCAAAGGCAAAGTGATGAAAACGAAAGAAACACTTGTGATTAAAAAGTGAAGATAGGTAGGCATTCACATACTGACACGAAGACAACATCAGGGCTTGCTTGTCATATACAGATTAAGCTTCAAGTGACGAATGAAAAGAGGTCAATAGACTTTACATAAGATGGAGAAAACTGATGGGATCACTTGAAATGGTTGAAAAAAAAAGAAAGAAAGAACCCAATAGGATGGCATAGTAGACCAGACTTTTTAACTCTCCCAAGAATTGAGGGCTAAGATGAAACAGAAACAGAGACCACATAGAATGATAATTTGGACCTCAACTCCGAGTTCCAATGGGGAAAATCCTAAAGGATCACAAACTATATGACAGACCCTTTTTAACTCTCGTGGCAAGTAATACCGACAAACAAAGCTTTTCAATTATAAGAGCTGAATGGCCTGCTATTGTTCCGTCAAAAGACCAAAGAAATTACAAACTTCACACTAACCCCTAGCCAATAGTACATCCAAGTTACTCAAATGGTCATCGGATGAGGACTCCTGAAGCCGGGGTGCCTTCCGCACTCTTCTGTTCGAGAAGACATTGTCCTCATGCCTTTGTTGGTGATCCGTGTGCGCCACTTGATGCATATGCAGCAATGCAACCATGCTAATCGCGACCAAAGCAGCATTGCCCAAAACACCACCCAAAATGTCCAATTTAAGGGTTTTCCTTGCAAAATTTAAACTTGATACTAGAACATTGCACAAGATATTTGGCCTTTTTCCTTCGCAGGTCGCCAAGTTGTCACCAGATGAACTGAGTGGGGAAGTGTAAAGTTTTTCAGGAGAAACAAACTGATTAGCCTCTTGAACATCTCCCACAAAAGCTAGAGCTTCTTCAATAACTTTGTACTTCTTCCCCTGGTGTTCAGCCAGTCTCATTGCAAGAACAATTCGGCTTTGCTCTAACCTTGCGATTGCAGCATCTCTCTCAGCTCGTTGCTGCACCTGTAGAGTCTGTAAATCAGATCAGATAGAGAAGAATAGCTCAGTGGAAACAAATGTCCGATACTGCTACTATAATGGAAAGGGTAGAGTTTACAAGCGTAAACAAACAGATGCAACATAGACAAACGCCAAGCCCCTGTCTGTTAGTGCTTAAATATGAATCGGTTGCCTTTATTTTACTGGTTTAAGGGTCATAATTTCTACTAAGTCACCACAAGTCCATGACTCCACTCAAACTTTCAAACCAGCCTTCTATGATTTACTCTGTGTTTTGAATGTTTCACCTTAACTAATATGACGACACTCTTAACTCTAGCATAAATAATACTGAAACAATAAGATTATCAGTGCAAAGTTCCAAAACAATCCCAGCTAACGTTCTATTATGCTCCAAATATTGTACTTCCTAATAACCTCCATCTGCCACAAGCTCTATAGTTTTTTTAATCTGCCTAAAATGTGGCATTGTTGGGTCCCTTAATTGTCAGCAATATAGATAAATAGTAACTTCCTCCTTATCCTTCTAGATGATTTACATACCTCTTATTGTCCTAAACTTCATTGCAGATGGACTTGTTAACAAAGGAACTCGAGGAGATTCTTAGATGTTCACTTTCACTAGCAAGGTTTCGATTAATACAATTGCATCAAAGTAAACAAACATTAGAAACAATAGAACTAAACATTTCATTATTTGCTTTCGCTTGAACAATTTCCTCAGAAGCCTAAAAGAAACTACCGAATTCGCTCAACAAGCCTAGTGAACTTTCTAAGCTAAGCAAAGCCCTACGGGTGATCATTTACCTACAAATTAACATACTACGATTGAAAATCCAAAATACGCAAATCGAATAAATTACAAATTTCCTTCACTCTCTCATTCGTTTTTTCTGCGGTTTTCTCAAGCTAAACAAAATCACGTCAACTCACATGGAAAATTTCTCCCTTAACATTCTAGATGATTTACATCCCTCTTATTGCCTTAATTACTTCTCTATCTGAAAATCCTTTTCTTCTACAGAAACTCTTTACCATTGTAAACTCCTAACCTGCATTTATCCTATGAAACAAAACTAAATCATCAGAAGACGAACTTAAATCCACCATACTTAATTCACAGTCTATAAACAGTAAAAGACGGAGGATCCTTAGCTACGTTATTGCAGAACTGAAGTCTTCTTTTCTCCGATTTCAAACACCAATTAGCTTTAACCTGATTAAACCTCATTGCACATGAACTTGTTAATAAAGGAACTGGAGGAGATTTTTAGACAGCCACTTTCACTAGCAAGATTTCGATTATTAAAATTGCATTATAGTAAAAACAAACATTATAAACAATAGAACAAACTATACGCTTCATTATTGCTTTCGCTTGAACAATTTCCTCCGAAACTTAAGAGAAACTACCGATTTTGCTCAAGAACAAGCCAATGGAACTTTGTAAAACCCTATGGACGATTATTTTCCTCCAAATAAACAATCCTACTAGTGAATATCCAAATTAAACAAATTGAAACCAGCAAAATACAAATTTCCTTCATTTTCTTTCTCATTGCCCGCGGTTTTCTCAGAAAACAAACAAAACTTAATCGAAACCACAGCAACTTACATGGAAAATTTCCAGCTGATCCTCGAGGTTCTCGAGCGCGGTCCGAATCGCATTGAGGCTCTTGGCTTCCTGAATCGCCGAATCGTCATCGGCGTCAACGCGGAAGTCCTTGACAAAGACGAATCCTCCGCGATTCTGGTCGGAAACGGCGTCGTTTCCGGTCGGCTTCCTCTTGTCGGACCTCCTCTGAGCTTTGATGGAGTTGAGGAAGTGAGCTCGAGAAATCGAGTGAATGGCGTCGCTGAGCTTGTAGTGTAGGTCCCAGATCTTCTCAAGGACTCCCTCGATTTCGTCAATCTCCATTTCCCATTTCATGAGGAAAATGTCCCAGAGAGATGGAGATAAACACAGAGAGAGAGAGGGAAAATGACGGAAAATTTTGGGTGGGAAAAGCTTTCTAGGGATTTCGTTTTCGTTCGTATTTGGTGCCGAAAAAAAAATCAAAGTTACCCGCTGATTGACGTGTGCCACGGCGTGACACGTGTTCTTAAGAAATGGCGTTTATTGCCGAATCGTTTTCTATTGAGATTTCAGTTCAGTAATTAAAACCTTTTTTTTTTTTTTCAATGGTAGTATTTCATGCTTGTAATCTTTAATTAAAGCAATTTTTCCCCCAGGTTTTGGATGTAATTGATTATTTCAGTTGCAAAAAAGAAGATAATGAAAGCAATATTGGAGCTAATTTAGCCCCAAAAAAAAACAAGATCCATGCACTTTTGGTAATATATATATATATGTATATATATTTGTGGTTTTTTAAAATATAAATTTTTGGTTTTTTTGTTGAAGGAAAAAATTTGTGGTTTTTCGTTATGAGTACACATTAAATTTTTTGGTTAATACTTTTATTGTTTTGACAGAGGCAGTTAATTTTTTTTAAAAGAATATATATTTATCAAAATAGCTAAATCGTTAAACTTTCAAGCTTGATTTGACTTTAATTCAGGTATTGCGTAATTAATTCATAATTTGTTCAAATATTAATTCGTATAACGGGATATTCCAATATATATGCTTTCTTAGATTGAAAAAAATATGAATATTTGGTTAAAAAAATGCTTTTCACCGCTTGTTTTAAACAAATTTTGGGGGAAAAAATATGTGATGAATTCTCTAAAAAAAATGACTGTGAAAGGATATGGTGAGAAAAATTTTGAGTGCGTTTAGAACTCGTTATAAAATGATTTTATTTTTTGTATGAAATGAAAATGAAAACTTTTTCAATTTAAGACAGAAATTATTTTTAAAAATATGTTTGATAGTTTTATCAAGAGATTATTTTCAGTGTAAAAAAACCCATTAATGTCTCTCTTTTTCTTTCTACTTAAGAGAAGAAAAAACGAAAATAAAAAATAAAAAACGATTAAAAATCATTTTTCATTTCTCTTTTATTTTAAACTAAATAAAAAAATTATTTTTATTTTTATTTTTTATTTTCATTACACCAAACGTCATTTTAAAAATATTTTTATTTTAGAATAAATATAAAAAATAAAAATAAAATCAATTCTAATTTCTCGTGGACTTCAAAGAATCTTGTCGAGGTCACAATACTACATATTTGGTGACCGACACTTTTGTCAGCGAGAGAGAAAGCTTATCATCAATATGTTTCGTGGCTGTTTTTGTTTGTTTGCCTTGTTTGTTGGTATTATTATTATTATTATTACAGATTTTGTCTCCTCCTTTTCTTTGATGGATGTTCTCTGAAAAGGAAGTTATTGTTAAAAGAGAGAAAATTATATTATCAAGCAGTAAAAAGAGAGCGCATTCCAAATGCTAAGTTAACTATATTCAGGGCTGCTTGATCGAGTTTTTATTTTTGTTTTTAGTCAGCAAAAGAAAATAAGTAAATCAAATCAAGATACATTTGAAAGAGATCGAACGGTTCAAAATGATTAATGTACTCTTTATTGAAATTTAGATACAAGTTTCAAAATCTATTAAAAATAATTTTTTTTGAGAAGTCACACTTTGTGATTTTATGTGAAAAGCTAAAGTTTTTCTCATAAATCACATAATCTGGATTGAGGTAAGTAATGCAAGTACGCAAGGTATAGCTATACTCATTCTTTCTTCTGAAAAGAGCATGGAATCTAATTAGCCCACGCGGTTTTTTTTTTTTTTTTTTTTGTCGCAATATATTGTTTATCGCGTGAAATTATGAGTCTTAGCCAAAACTTGTTAGTGTTTATTTGTGGAATTTTTCAATATAAGGATTTAAGACTTTGTCTTTCATAAAACTTCAAAGAAATACATTTTTTCTTTTCCGGTCAAAAAGTTCACGAATGAACGTACTAAAGGTTAAAGCAATTATGCAACATGTAAAAAGAAAGTTATGAGATCTTTTTATATGTACAAGCTAGCTGATCAAACATTATAACTTAGTATAAATATATATTCACGACATGATAACATGTATATATATATATATATTGTTTTTTTTTTTAAAGAACATGTATATATATAATTTAGTATTGGTATTACACCGAGAGATTTAGAAGAAGAAAAGGGCCACAACATATTGACGAAAAGAAAAATGAAGCGCAAAGAAGAAACTATGAATTAAACGGGGAAAAACCACGCAACTCTTCATATCCGTACGTTCCCAAACCTTTATTTGCCTTTCAAGTGCAAAGCATTTCGGTATTCTTATTCTTATTAACTTTTTATGGGATTTCGGTATTTTTATTAGTACGTACGATATACAAGATACAACACATATATATGCACTTATGGAGCAAACCGACGACGTTTTGTCCATTAATATATTATCAAAAGCCACTAAGTACATGATCCATGCAAAGGAAGGCAAAACTTATTGACCCTGCACGGCGTCGCTCGGTCGTCTATTTCCCTGCTGCCTGGAAAAAGACAGTCTCCCAGCGGCGATCGAAGTCGTCCGATTTCCACTTTCGCCGCCGTCCTCTCCGGAGATCTCCTCCAAAGACCGCCCTTTGGTCTCACTCACTAAGAACGTGCAGAAAAACCCTATCATATTCGTAGCTGCCAATATCAACATAGCCCTACGAATTTTCTTCGGATTACCACTCAAAGTATAGCTCTGAATCCCGAACGCCCCGATCATCGCTCCGGCCTTCCCCGATGCCGCGCTTATCGCGTGGCATGTCGACCGCACCCGCGTCGGGAACAGTTCCGCGGGCAGGACGAAGGTCGTGCTGTTGGGCCCGAAATTGGCAAAGAAAAAGGTAAGTCCATATAACAGTGCGAAGAGCTTATGGTTTTCCTCCTTGAGGTAGTCATACTTGAGGCCTATGATGAGCATGAACATGGACATCATGAAGAAGCCGACGAGCTGAATAATGAAGCGGCCGAGCTTTTCGATTAAGGCGACAGTGAACCAGTAGCCGGGGAAGGTGCCGAACAAGGCGATGATGAACATCGCTCGAGACGTTTCGTAGACTTCTTGAAGAGCGTTCATTTGGAGTTCCTTTTTTATGAGACCGATTGCGGGGAAAATATCCTTCTGGGTTAGGTTTTGGCTGTAGAATGCGATGTCCAACAAGAACCAAGTGGTGGTAGTGCCGATCAAATGCCGGCCGTGACGCGTCCAGAACTCTTGGGAGAGTAATGTGTAGTTGTTTGCGGCTTTGAACTGAGCCAATTGGTCTTGATCAGCATCGATTTCTATGTCCAGGACCTGACCCATGTCCATGGCCGCTTGGTCCGCTTTTCCTCTGATTAAGGCCGTGTACCGTCCTAGGCAGATCAGATAATTTCGTCCAATTAGCAAAATATAATAGATTAGCTAGATTAATATATAATGTGGAAGAAGTTAGTCACAAGCTGTGTCGTGACTTAAAGCCAAAGATCCTGCGACTAGCTATATATAACCAAAGTTTACTAACTGATGTGTTTGTGGCTAGAAGTTTTTGTTATATTTTTTGAAAAAGGAAAAGACAACATTTTTGTGATTAAAAGTAATTTTAATGGTATATAGCTCAACTACTATATATATTTTTGTTATAATTAGGAAGAAGTTGATTGTGGAAAACGGCCGCTTTTTATGGAAAATTAAACTGACTGAAACTAATTGGTATAAATACAAGTAAATATATATATATATATATATATATGTTCAACTCAAGTTTTTTCACAGCGTTTTTCGTCACAAATATATATTTTTGTTATAATTAGGAAGAAGTTGATTGTGGAAAACGGCCGCTTTTTATGGAAAATTAAACTGACTGAAACTAATTGGTATAAATACAAGTAAATATATATATATATATATATATATATGTTCAACTCAAGTTTTTTCACAGCGTTTTTCGTCACAAAAATTCAAAATTAACTTTTTATGCTAGGATATTTTCTCACACATAAAGTCATTTTTTAACTCGAATTAAAAATTCAAATCCGCAAAATGAACTAGAACAATAGTCAATTGTTAAATTTAAAGTTTATTAAGTAAATCACTCTATTTCTTATAAAAGAAAAAGAAAAAGAAAAAAAAAAAGACCATCTACCCTATTTTTTCTTAAAATTATATTATTAACCAATTATGATTATAAGTTACAAGTTACAAATGTTCTGACTAAAAGGCTTTTACCAAATAAGTAGTATTTTTTTGTAGTTGTTATTACATTTCACGCCTTTAAGAATAGATCAAAGACTAGTATATTTGATTTGCATGAGTGAAAAGAAAAAAACAAAAAAGTGCACTAACCAGTTTCGGGCATTTTCATCCGCCAATAGAAAGTTAAGATCGCCGGCAAAGCTCCGAGCATAAGCACAGTCCGCCACATGAAATCTGCCTGTGGCTGCGTGGAGAGGACATTTTGGAAATCGTCACCTTTGTATGCGGGCGCATTATCGTTCATGAGGAAGATCTTGGAAACAACCATGGAAACAAGCCCGGCAAAGATAATCCCCACCCCCTGCATCGCAAACACGGCGGCGATGAATGCGCCACGTGTCTTCTTGTTGGCGTACTCCGACATGATGGTCGCGGAGAGCGGGTAGTCTCCACCGATCCCAAACCCTAACCAAAACCTAAAAAAACAAAGCGTCCCCATCACGGCATGTGGGCTAGACCCCAAAGAGAGTCCAGAGCAAATAGCACAAATGACCATCAGAACTAGGGTTACGCCGTAGACTTTCTTGCGGCCGAGCTTGTCCCCGAGCCAACCAAAGAAGAGCTGGCCCGCGAGGGTTCCAACGAGGGCGACCCCGGTGACTAAGTTGTTGACATTCTTTGGCAGCTTCCCGGGCTTTTGTGAGCCGGGGTGGTAAAAGTAGAGACGTCCCAAGAGCTTCGAGATGGTGGAGATGCAGAAGAGGTCATAGGCGTCGGTGAAGAAGCCCATGCCGGCAATCATAATCGCCGTCACGTGGTACCATTGTGTCCGGGCGTTGTCGAGGGCTTCGAGCACGGCTATCGCCATTTGGGCAGCCAATTATTATTGGTTTTGCGGTGGTGATTTACCAATGAAGTGGGGGATATTTGTAGGAAGTAATTGTGAGGCAATTTATAACGAACTTAGCCAAGAGAAACGTTTGTTATACATTTTTTTTATTAGAAAAGGAATAATTTTTTTATTTCTTATTTTTTATTTTTTTTATAGAAAACCTCAACGAGGAAAATTTATTACAAGCAAAAGAAAAAATAGATAGATTATACAAAAATACGTTTGCTATGCATAGGTTTTGGAGGAATTACAAGAAATCAGTATCAAGGATATTCTCTATATGCTTGTACTAAGTCATCATATCATACATCTTGCGATGAGACTAGCTTGTGTTTTCACTTTTTGTTTATTGATTGTTGGTTGGATTTATTGTCTGGTACGTAGTTATCAGCTTTAAATTAACTTAATTTACTGATATTTTGAAGGTATATCCTTAACCTTTAGTTGTCCGTACGTATTGTTATGATCATCAAATTTATATAATATAGGAATCTTTTATTGTACCTTAGAATATTATTAATCATTAATGCTGTGATACAATTTTTTTGCTTTCTACGTCTACAACTACATCAGTACGTATAAATAATTACGTCAAAAGGTTAAATATAAGGCATGATATATGTGTTGGGAGAAGAGACGTCTATTGCTGGGACAGTGCATGGAGACAGATTGAAAATACTGCACACACCCACTTTCAATCAAAATCTCCATTGCCACGTATTTATATACACACACATTGTGGAGGTCAATTTCCAACCTTCCGAATTTATATTAGGGGTTAATGACCCATTATTTGTAGAGTTGATAGATGTTTGATTTATTTGTCTAAAATGATTTAGCGTAGGAGTGATAAAAGAAAGTGTTGAAAAAATAAACAGGAGAAATCAAAATTTTAGTGGTTCTATAACTCAGGGTACATCTATTGTAGTATTTATTATAATTTTAGTGGTTCTATAACTCAGGGTACATCTATTGTAGTATTTATTATAATTTTAGTGGTTCTATAACTCAGGGTACATCTATTGTAGTATTTATTATAATTTTAGTGGTTCTATAACTCAGGGTACATCTATTGTAGTATTTATTATTTGCACTAGGTATATAAAAAATAATACAAAAAAACTTGATAAAACTTGAGAGAGACAATAATGGAGGAAAGAGAGAGAGAGGGCGGCTCTAGGGCGAATTGCAGAGGCAGTGCATGAGTTTGTGTGTCTTGGAATGCCCTGGACGTTAAGAAAAGTCCTCCTTTTATAGCTGCAAACTCTTGTTTCCCAATTAAAGCTAGTTTCTCTTTCTCGAATAGAGTTGACTTTCCTGATTGCTTTTTTTGATCTTGTTATCTTATTTCTTTCGTATCTTTTGAGATTTAGGCTAACTTAGGTGCGATCTGAAGCTTTTTTAAAATCTCATAATGGAAGATTATTCAGAAGATTCTCAAAATATTTTTTTAGAGCAGTTGACTCTTCTGTTCTTTCGAGCAGTCATAATCGACTCCAGATGTTGCTGTGGATTCGGACTGACTTTGAATCTGGGTCGTCTTCTAAATGCTATTAGCTGCTCTATGTGCTTTGATGATCTTCTTAGTTGTTAAACTTTTGACTTAATCGACTCGAATTGATACATGTAAGGTGGAGATTGAGTGATGAAATCTGACCCAACACACATGCATAGTTATACGCTGTGTTGGTATCGTACTAGATGGTGTAATATACATTCCTTTACCACATTGAAGTTCTTGACCTTATCTCTTAAACTTTGTGCAGGCATGTAAAGCAAGATATTATCTTTAAAAAAAAAAGAAAAAGCTTTTTACCCCAACATGATTGAAAGGAATGAATGACATTTGTAAACTTGCCTCATTTTTATCCATACATACATATAAAGCAGAATGGGTTTTATGGGTATTGCAATGAAACGTTGAGGTTTTTGTTTTCCGGCGCTTATTTTTGCACAGAGAGAGAGAGGGAGGGACTGGTGGGCCCTTCAAGGAAGAGAGAGAGAGTTGTCTGGGAAAAAGAGAGAGAGAGGGAGCGGTGGAACTCGCTGAGAAAAGAGAGGGGAAAGAAGGCAATCTGATCCGTCCATATTTTTGATCCGACGGTCACAAAAAAAGTCCCGATTTTATTTATTAATTATTATTTTTTTATATTTACTATTAATTTTAGGTTTATTTGTAGTGTAATGTTATCTATTTTAACACGATTTAGTACTAAAATTTCAGTACTGCTTAAATAAAAACTCTATAAATGATTTAATAAAAAATAAAATTTAACAAAAATTCACTAAAATAAAATAAAAACATACCGAACTGAATAAAAATAAATTAAACAAAATTAAATTAAATTGATTTAAAGACAGTAAAATAACTTAAAATCTCTTTTGTTTATCTTTTACTTTAAATTTTTTTACTGGCATCTTTATTTTTTTTTACATTTTTTTAAATAATTTAATAATGATTATTTTAAATAAATCACGCACTGCTATAAAAAATCAGTACATATCTAAGGATGGCAAGAGAATAGATGCAGTTGACGTTGGGGAATTCCCGTAAGGGGTTTTCTGTTATATATTTTCTTCCACAATCCACACTAACGACACGTTTACTTCTCATAAAAGAAAAAGGCACGTCATGGGAGTGATTTTGGACTTGTTCTTTTGTAGTTTAACTTGAGTATAATTCTTAAGTTGAATTTGAATTATAACTTGAGTTGAACTTGTAATTTGAGTTTGTGTTTGGTTGTGTACATTTGAGATAAGAATCTTTTTGAGTTTGTATTTAAGTGAGTCAAAACTTGAATTTGTATTTATATAGTATTTTAATAAAAATTCAATGCTGATGAAAAATTTTAATAGGGTATATGGGTCGAGTTTTATTCGTCTTTTCGTTGTCAACGCATAGGAAAAAAAATCATCTCAATCAGAATTAAAACGAAAAAGTTATAGCATTTTTAAGAATAAAAAAAATATTGTTCATTAATTTGAGTTCGAGTTTCTGAACTCGAGTTGAAGGAGAAACTTGAACTAAAGTTTTAGCCCTAAACTCGAGTTTGAACTCGAGTTTAAACTCGAGTTTAAACTTAAAAGAATATGAACTCGAATAAAATTATAACTCGAGTTACATTTTTTTGAGTTTTTCACTCAAAAGAACGAGCCATTTATTTCTTATCTACTCATGTGCACATCATGTTTACTTAGATATAAGAAATGAGAAAAAAAAAAGAATGATAATTAACGGGAATAAACATCAAATTTATTTATATATTAATAAGTTCATGACATATAATTATTGCAATCCAATAATTATTTATATTTTGCATGTTTTATAAGTATGAACAGAAATTTTTTATTTAAATCTTTTTGCTACAATATATTTTTTTTTTAAAAATTAAACAAATGATGGAATTAGACGTTTTTTAAAAGATTGTTTTCATTTTTTTCCATTCCAATACCGGCCAACCAAACATGGTAACGTGCGGTAAGAAATGAGTAAAGGAATATCAGTCTTTATACGGTCTCAATTAAAGCTTGGAATGAATTTCAATATACTGATACACATTAATAATTATGTTCACACATTATTATGTAAAAGTATATTTCGGCTAATTATAACCAAATTTTAAAATTTTAGTTTAATAAACACTGCAAAATTGAATTCTTTTATAATAGGATGGTTCTACTTGCACTCATTTTTACTTTCTACATCTCTTTTTAAATATACACTCCACGTAATTTTAAAATGGTTGAATTTTCTTTCTATACACCTCTGTTATTCTAAAATAAATTATTTTTATAAGATTATTAATTATTAATCATTTCATTTTTCTTTTCATATCCACTATTTTATTTTAATTTTTTTAATTTTTAATATTATCATTTCTATATTTCTCTTTCTTTTGGTTGAAGCTTTTTAGGCTTGACGCTTTTTTTTATAAGAAGAAAATTTATTAAAATATTTTTTTAGAAAACATAAAGGACACTCAAAATATAAAATAGAAAGTAATATAATTCAATAAATAAAAATAAATAAAAAATACTGTAACAAAGTTATTATATTATTGAGGTATGATTAAAAATACAAAATGGAAAAAGAATGAAAAACAAATAAACGAGCATAAAAAGCATAAAGTAATTGTTTTTAATTTGAGAATATGACATGTGGAATGTGTAAAGGGAAAAAAAATAAAATATTATTATTTTTATAATAAAATTTAATTATGTAATTAGGTCTATTATAATTGTCATTTTTTGTCATTTTACATGAGAGTCTTTTTAATAAGAAATTATAATTAAAAAGAAGGTGTGAAAAGTAAATAGAGGTGTGTGAATAGAATCACCGTTTATAATATTACATAAATAAATACCGGAATATAAATAGATCATTCTTGCTATTATTTCTTTGCTTTAATTACATGGTAGTTAGTCAATTCACACGACTGGCATTCTAATATTTTACGGGCCCGTTTAGTTCGCTGATTCGAGTTTGTAATTTGAGTTGAGATGTGATTTTATGTGAGAACTTTTTAATGTAGCAAAAAAATTAGATGTTATTATTTTTGAGAACTTTTTACTATAACAAAACTCGAATTTTAAACTTCGGTGAAGTAAACAGGGCCTACAAGTAGACAGCAAGGATCTGGAAGGAGAGAGACGGAATAAAACTCCTAATTTGTCTCTATTGGAGCAGGTTTTTTTTTTTTTTTTTCTTGATTACTATAATCAGCTCAAAGGAGCCTTCGCAATATCTGTGCTTAATTGAACATATATAGATCGCAGCCACGATGTCTTTGGTTAAAAGGAAATCAAGGGAAAAGGAAAGAACACCACAACGATCAGTTGCAAAGAAAGACGATAAAGAATGCAGTGCAATACTATAATAAAGCGACTTAATATTAGTTCATATATTCTGAGAACCAAAACGTTCAATTTATTACACAAACATTTGCTTGTACCCTCACAATTAATATAAACCCCCCCTTCTTCTCCATTTTTTTTTTTACATCTCTGAAAATACCACAAAGTTGGTTACTCCCAGCACTTATTTCAGCTAATTCAAGCATCCACACACTCTTCTACCATATGGCGGCGCACAGATTGAATATCATATAGCAAGATGCTATAACAAAAAACAACAAATTAGAAAAGTGAACTTAAGAACTCTACACAAAAGGGTAGATATATAGATCATATAGTTATACATATATGTTGATGACCGATCATTGATCACAATTTATTGATCACCCTGTACGGCCTCGTTCCGTCTGCTTGCCTGCCTGGTCATGGAAACGTCCCCGGCAGGGACGGCGGCAGCGGGTGTGTAGGCGGGGGAATTTCCGTCGCCGCCATCCTCTCCAGAGATCTCCTCCAAAGACCGTCCTTTGGTCTCAGTGACTAAGAAGGTGAAGAAAAATCCCAGAAAATTAGTAGCAGCCAAGAAGAACATGGCCTCCCGAATTTTCTTTGTGGAACCATCCAAGGTGTAGGTCTGAACCCCGAAGGCCGCGACGATGGCACCGGCCTTCCCAGAGGCTGCACTGATGGCGTGACACGTGGACCTAACCCTTGTCGGAAAAAGCTCCGCCGGAAGGACAAAGGTGGTGCTGTTGGGCCCAAAATTCGCGAAGAAAAAGGTGAGACCGTAGAGAGCTCCGAACACCGCCCCGTGTCCGTTCTCTCTCAAGTAGTCGTACTTGATGCCTATGATGAGCATGAAGATAGTCATCATGAAGAAGCCGAGGAGCTGGATTTTGAAGCGGCCGAGCTTTTCGATCAAGGCTACAGTGAACCAGTAGCCAGGGAAGGTCCCACACAAGGCAATTATGAACATGGCGCGCGAGGTCTCGAAGACTTCTCGAAGAGCGTTCATTTGGAAGTCCTTATGGATCAGACCCATGGCGGGGAAAATGTCCTTCTGGGTTAGGTTTTGGCTGTAGAAGGCGATGTCCAACAAGAACCAAGTGGTGCTCGTGCCGATCAAATGCTTTCCATGACGCCCCCAGAACTCTTGGGATAATAAGGAGTAGTTGTTTGCGGCTTTGAATTGAGCCAGCTTGTCTTGCTCATCTTGTATTTCTATCTCCAGAACACGTCCCATGTCCACTGCGGCTTGCTTCGCGTTTCCTTCTATCAAGGCGGTGTACCGTCCTAGTTGTAAGATGAAGCGAAAAATGAGTAACGTGAGAAAGAAAATTTGTACTAACCCGTTTGATTTGTGAGTTTGAATCAAATCTTTTGTTATAGTGTCTTCTCCAGTAAAAAATTTGAATTTCCGTTCAAATCTCCGAACAATACGGGCCTGATATTTGCTTCAAGTTGGAAGGAAAACATGTATGTTGAAGTTCAATTGAAGCATGTTACTACAATAAGAGGAGATATATGTTTGTGTGCTAGATGATTCTGAGTTATGTTTGTGGAGTAAATTTGTTCTTGTTGTTCGTAATTTACAGTACTGTTTTTGGTTTCCTTCTAATACAAATTTATCAAATAATTAAAACTTAAAAACCTAATCATATAACAAATACTAAATACTAAACTATTTAAGCAGTTAAATAAGGTATAAAAAGTTATTGATTAATAGATCATATGAACTCATTCGCGAAGTAAAGAAAAGGTTTTAACAAAGAAGGGAAAGAGAACAAGAAGAATATTCCATTTTTGGAAATAAAATCATTTGGAGGAAAGAAGACCCCTAATTCTTAGCATCTATATATTGACAATATATAAGCGCATCCTTATATTATGTAGTGGGTCTATACCTCTAAAAATTGATTAAACCGTTGATAGATTTTGAATTTCAAAGAGAACTAAAGAAATTTAGAAGAAACACAGCTTAGTTAACCTACCAGTTTCGGGCATTTTCATCCGCCAGTAGAAAGTCAAGATTGCGGGCAAAGCTCCAAGCATGAGCACAATCCGCCACAAGTAATCCGCCTCGGGTTGCGTAGAGAAAACGGGGGAGAAGTCATCAAACTTATAAGGAGGGGCATCATAGAATCCTAGGAAGATCTTGGAAAGAATCATGGAAACTAGGCCAGCGAATATGATTCCCACGCCCTGCATCGCAAACACGGCGGCTATGAAAGCTCCCCGTGTTGACTTGTTGGCGTACTCCGACATGATGGTGGCGGAGAGCGGGTAATCTCCTCCAATCCCAAACCCTAACCAAAACCTAAAGAAGCATAGCGTCCCCATCACGCCCCTTGCAGTAGCGCCAAAGGAAAGGCCGGAGCAAATAGCGCAAACGACCATCATAATTAGGGTTACGCCGTAGACTTTCTTGCGTCCGAGCTTGTCCCCAAGCCATCCGAAGAAGAGCTGGCCCGATAAGGTTCCGACAAGGGCGACACCGGTGACCAAGTTGTTGACATCCTGTGGCAGCTTCCCGGGCTTTGGTGAATTGGGGTTGAAATAGTAGAGACGTCCCAAGAGTTTAGAGACGGTGGAGATGCAGAAGAGGTCATAGGCGTCAGTGAAGAAGCCCATGCCGGCGATCACAATCGCCGTCACGTGGTACCATTGTGTCCGGGCGTTGTCAAGAGCATCAAGCACGGCTATAGCCATTTTGGACTAATTTGGCTGCGCCTAGCTATAATCAGTTGGTATAATTAGTTGGTTGATGGTTTGGGACTACTTGGTTGCTTATTTTTATAGTTGGTAATTTATGGGAAACGATTGATTATCAACAAAATGATTAGGGGACGATTGTTCCTATGTTTATGGAGGATATTCCACAAGCCTAGTTCATATAAAGGATATCCGGATTAATTGATGGATGTGAAGACTAGCTAATTGTAGTACATCTATTTGTTATTAGCCATGTTCATAATGAAGCTTAAGTACGATTAAACGCTGCAATTTGTTTTTTGAGTTGTCAAATTGATACGACCAAGAAATTGATTGCAAGTCAAGAATTAATACATTTACAACAAAAGACAATAAGAGTATTGGTTCTCTCTTTTTTTTTTTTTTTTTCCCTTCTAGTTCAAGATGAGCCTCAGATCCTTTTTTTTTACAAAATTAGATCTAGGAAAGCGCGCCTAGCCCAGGCCGTGTATGAAATATCCACGCAATCATATTAATGTCTTAATCAAAATAGCCTAGCAAAATTTCAATTTGCTAGCATTGGAAGAAACCAAAAACTCCATTATCCAGGACAAATTGGGAAAGAGGATCTTTTTTTGTGGTTTGGTTCGGCCAATTGTATTATATTTCCTTCAGTAGAACCAAGTAAAATAGCAACTTAGCAAGAAACGGAGGGACAAACGAGACAACTGCTTTGTCTTTTTGAGCTCTCCATTAACAACCAAAAATGTCCCTTTCGTGCCTATTTGTATTGTGTCCGGAATTATAAAGAAGTCAAAAGTTAATCCGCCTAGTATCTTTCACCAGCCAAAAAAAAAAAAAAACATAATAATAATAATCTAACATCATGAGCTGCCAAAAAAGACCTTTGGAAAGCTACACAAGTTATTATTGAGTTTTGGTCTTTTTTTAGGATTTGAAGGGCTTTAAAGAAAGCTAAGAAGCAAAACAGAGAATTCCGAGCAGGGTCATTATTATTATTTATAGTCCAAACTGTTAGGCGTAGAGTAAAATTTTCAATACTAAATACGCCTCTAGCTGTTAAAAGATGGTATACATAATATTATAGCAAATTACAATCTGATTAAATGCATTTCGCAAAAAAAATTGTCGTTTTAGGCCGTTGCCAAAATTTTTAGACCAACCTGCACAACTAGTATGCAAACTAGGAGAATCAAGTTTAGTGGTTGCTAACGGTAAAATGAAACAAGAAGTATGTGACTGTATGGTACCAAGTTAACCTTGCTTATCAATTATCTGTCGTTTGTTGCTGCACCACGAACACAGAAGCCTTGCCAAAGATATCCTTCGAGGCGAGCAGATCTCCGACAACTCCTAGCTCCGGGAACTCGGTCCACGCTAGATCGAGACCCGTAATCTGGTGGCAGCCTGCGTCGTGGCTTCTCCCAACTATTATAAGATCATATTCGTCCGCCATACTTCTCACAGCCGTAGACAATTCAGACCCGTCATTCACAACCTCCTCCAAGTAGTTCAACCGGTGTCTGGCGCTCAAACTGCTGTACTTGACATCTTTCAACACCTCGGAATCCATCATATTTTCCCACTTTTTCTCCTCATCAACCTCGCACTCAGTCGGGGCTACAAAGTGGATCACCGTGAGGCTGATGTTCGACCCCTTGCACGTGCGTTTCGCGTATGTCAACGCCTCCCTATCGTCTTTACCTCCCAAGAAAATCATACAGACCGAGTACATGTAGGCATCTACTGAAACCATGGAGCTAGCCCGTCCTGCATAGCCTCGATTCACGAGTATCGCAACCGAGCATGGAGCCCTTTCGAGCACGCTCAAGTTTAAGGCCCTTACCATGTTGTCTTCCAGCTCAACATTCCCATCCACGGACCATTTCCTATGAAAAGGAAGTATCACAAGTGATGTGAGCTTGTCTAGGGCCAAAGTACAAATGTCCTCGTGCATTAGCTTATAGGGAGAAACTGCTGTGAAAGCGTTTACTTTCACAGCTCCCCAATTGCTATTCTCAAAGCGGTTGAAAGAAAGGATTACGTTCTGCGAGTAGGAGACGTCGGAGAGGCTCTTCTTCTGAACTTGGTGTGAGATAAAGATTGGTGTGGCTCTTCCAATAAGCTCAATTAGGTGTAGAACATAAACGCCAATTGGGTTGTCCTTGGTTGCACATGAGGCATCAAGGAGGTCTATTATGGCAGGGATGTCATCCGGCCTGTGAATGCAGGCGAGCATTCGGAGCTCCAAATTCGGCTTCAAATGCATGATGTTCCTTCTCTGATAGCCTGCATATTTCCTTGATGGATCATACAAGAACTTCAAGCTAATCGGCACAATTATTGATATAGCTAAGATACTAACCATCAGCAGATTATAAGTTGGCATTGCAAGACCCTGCATTTACAGAAAAACAGAATACAGTTTCTGTCAATCTCTAATTAGTTACGAAAACAAGTGCTAATCACAACAATGGTGGTATTTATAGGTATCGTTTGGTTACTAGATTTGAACCTTATAGTTTGAATAGAAATTCAAATTTTTGTTACTGCAGCAAAAAAGTTTAAATTGTAGTTCAATCCCGCAAGACCAATGATACCATAGTCCATTTATTCTGCTAGTTTGAATCACAATACAAACCTTTTTGCTATAATATTTTCCCTCACAAAAAAGTCTTAACTTTTGTTTAAAATTTCTATTCGAACCTAGGAACTAAATGGAAGAAGAGTACTCAATCAGAAGGTAAGATTAAAGGAATTACGTTGTTATCTCTGAAGTATGTGTAGATGGCTAGTTCAACAACGCCTTTACTTGTCATAATAAAAGCCAAGGCCCAAGAATCGTACATTGGCATTTCATAATATATGCAAGAAGTCACACACGCGACTAACTTGGCAACATAAGTGACCATAACAAGGATTATGTTTGACTTCATGAGAGGATCAAACATGTTCTTGGAGAAATCCACTCTCAACATCCTTGTGGTCACAAAGAGCGGCAAGAACACCCCGGAGACGAAGCAATCGAGCTTACTGACGATGGCGGAGCCTAATGGAGGCCCGTCCGGTATAGCCAACCCCAAGATGTAAGGCCCAAGGAAAACCTGCTCATCAAAGGTGTCCGAATAAAGAGCACAAGCAAGAGCCAACACAATTATGCTGTACACATAAAAGTCCTTGACAGGCCTCCCTTCAGGCGTTTGTTTGACAATCATAAACATGACGGGCCTAAACACGAACACGACAACCAGAAAGAAGGCGACGATGGCGGCGATGTCCACGAGAGCTCGGCTCCTGGACTCCATGAAAACTCTAACCATGAGGAAGAAGTTGGAGACGATGAAACTGATCACGTCGCCGACCATGGCAGCGGAGAGGCCTAATCTACCGAGCTCGGAATTGAGGATGTTGAATTCGGTCAAGAGAGAATGAATGACGGGAAAAGAAACAAGAGATTGTGTTATGAACACAAAGGGAAGCTTGTCCTTGTCCGAGGGACTTAGATTCCGTCCGAGGAGTTTTTGAGCAACCATTCCACACAAAAATGGAACTGATACGGCCACAACTGCGATTATGGTTGCCTTTGTTCCTGTCTTGGGCACTATTCCAACGTTCATTTTAACTGCAGTTAGGAATAGGAAAAGTGCGTAGCCAAACACTGAAATTGTTCCAATAATCTGTTGACCAGCCGGTGTGAAGAGTTTCTCGTTCTTGGGGTTCCCATTTTCGTCTGATAATGCGTAACCAAGGACCAAGCCAGTCTGGTTTTGACAAAGAAAATAGAGACCAAATTTATTGTTAGTAATCTCCTTCAAGAGATTGAAAAAGAAAAAAAAAACGAAAAACAAACAAGCAAGCTAAAAAATGAGGTTAAAAAACTTCATTATGTGCACCTTGCGTCACATTTTGTCAATTATCCATGAGTATTTGGCATGTATACTCGTGAGTTTTTCAGGTTAGACAAAATACTCTGCATTTAACAAATTGTTAAAATGGTGCTCCTAAATCATTTATGATGGTTAAAATTTTATTATGAGAAACGCCCTCGTACATTATTTGATAATTCAGATAATAAAAGAGGCTGTCATATCACGTTTATATTAAGATAATTCTTTCTAAACTATAAAACATCCATCAATTTGTTTTGAACAATTTAGTAAATTCAGGATACAATTTAAAGTCCAAGACAGACTCTTAAAAACTTTTAATGGAATTCAACAATTTTTCGTATAGGGAGATCACCACCTCTCACAGAAAAAGTTGACAAAATTAGGTGCTGACCGAGTCATTTTATAAATTCTTGAATGCAGATGTCACGAATTGATTCCGTGTGCACAAAGCATGATAGAAAAACTTGAGTGTGTATAAGAATGATAGAATAATATAGGAGAATATATATACATATATATATATATATATGTGTATATGTACACGTACAATAATCTCAGAGGCGAGCCTGGGGAGACCAAGACGCTTGAGAACAACATGGAAGGCATGAGAGATGCAGAAAATCATGAGCATCTGAAGTTCGAGCTCAGGCATTGAGTTTTTGAGCAAATCATCAGGATTAGGATTGTGATTGTTCCAGAACCCATTGGAGCTCACCTGGGGTGGCAATTCAATGCAAACATATCTACGTGGCTTAATGCTGTTGGCTGTGTTATTTTCTGCCATAATTTTCTCACAAGAAAAAAGAAAAAGAAAGATATGTTGAATTTTTTAGAGAAGATGGTGGGTGAATGTGATGTTTTTTCCCTCGGACGTTTCTGGGAAAATATTGGAAATCATCATACAGAGACTTTTGGGTTTCTTCATGTTGAATTTCATGATACGTCACAACCAGTCTTTTGATGGGCTCTCTGTTTTTTCGCTCAATCAGAAAGCTATTGATTGACAAAAATTTAGGCACATTTACTATTTTTAGTATATATTTTTTTTCTTTTTTGATTGACAAAAATTTAGGCACATTTACTATTTTTAGTATATATATTTTTCTTTTTTTTTTTAATTTTCGTGGATACTTTAGTCTTTTTACTGGTCAAAATTAATTTTTGATCGAGAATCTTTCTATTAAATGCAATCTCGAAAATGTAGGATGTTTTCCTAAAAAAAGCAAAAAGAAAATGCTCCCAAATAAAAGAAAATTGTCGGTCACCAATTGGTTAATATCTTGTTTGATGTTCTAAATGTGTTTGTAAGAACTTTTGAATTAATCTAAAAAATCAATTCAATGTTTAGGAATTTAACATTTTTGTAAAGCCCCGATAATTATAAATAAAATAATCAAGAGCATACCTTCAAAATAACAATCTTTTGTGATTACAGAGATAGTATGACGATAATTTCACATACTCTATCATAAGGTGAAGAATTTGAATCTTTCCATTAAATTCATAAAAAATAAGGCATTTTTTAAAATACCATATGGTTAATGACAAGAAAATATAGCACAAATAAAGATGTTAACATAAATAAAATTGAAGGTTTTTTTATTTTATTTACAGACACCCTTTAAACTTTTTGAATTTAGTAATTAGGTTTTTATTATTTTTTCTTGGCAATTGATCCCTTTAACTTTTAAATTTTTACAATGAAGGTCCAATCGAACATGACATCTACTTTTTTGATGATTTTAATCACGTGACGTGCATGTGAGCATTTATTGAAGATAATAAAAGTCATTTTTTACAATTGGAGCGTCTATTGAGGGCAATAACACTTAGAAGCTAAGAATTATTTATCACAGCTGATTGTATTTAAATACGCTAAATGGTTATGAAATCAATATAAACGAACAAATAGAGTGAGAAATGATCTTCATTGACATCAATAAATGCTAACATTCACATCACGTGATTAGAATCGTAAAAAATAAAAAATAAAAAATGTGATTTTCAACTGGACTTTAATTGTAAAAATTTAAAAGTTAAGGAGGTCAATTGCTATAAAAATATAAGGACTAAATTATTAGATTTAAAAGTTTAAGAGTGTCCGGAAAAGGGCCTTGGACATTTTCGACAAGTTAAAAGAGGTCAATTACTAAAAAAATATAAGGACTAAATTATTAAATTTAAAAAGTAGAGTGCCCGTAAAAGGGCCTTAGACATTTCTACAAGTTAAAAGTTTAATTGCTAGAAAAATATAAGGACTAAATTATTAAATTTAAAGGGTTTGAAGAGTGTCCGTAAAAAGGCCTTCGACATTTCTACAAGTTAAAGAGGTCAATTGCTAAAAAAAAATATAAGGACCAAATTATTAAATTTAAAAAGTTTAAGAAGTATTTATAAAAAGGCCTCAACTAAATGTTGAGTAATACATATTTTTCTAGAAAAAATAAAGAATTTATTTTTGAGAGTGTATGAGTTTAGGAGCCCGTTTAGTTCATGAATTAGAACTATTTTTTATTTACGTGTGTTTTTTATGAGAGAAAATACTGTATCGAACCATAAACCATGATTCGAATCAGAAAACGAATCCTCAAACTAAACGAGCTATTTATATTTTACTCTTGATAAATACCTTTTTATTAATATAATTATTTAACTAAAAAGATTATGAATCAATAATAAAAGGTAAGAATCCATGTACACTCTTAAAGAGTATTTATCAAAATTATTATTTTTTTCTATATATTTTCACAAAAATAGTACACATTGATTACACGACAAATACTTCTAATTGCAGTTGCGTAGCGCGAGAATCGCGCCTCCCCACGAGCTACTGTGGAAAGCCCTAGAATGCCAACGGCCAAGGCCCATACTCTCTAGAAGCCTAATGTAAGGCTCTGTTTGTGTCCCACCACAACTCTACAATTTTATTATTCTACAATATTTTCAACTTGTTTTATTTTCCGTTTACTCTTTTTTGGTAGAAATAGTTATTTCTCCGCTTACTTGCAACCCAAGAAGAAGTGCTCTTTTTCGTCAAATATTTCTTTTTTATTTTTCTTTCTTTCAGATTTATCAACCAATAATAAATAATAAAGTCCAACAGTCCACTTTCGTTGCTTCAGCAAACGTGGCTCTAAAAGTTTCTGGTTTATATTTTTCTCTTCCTTCGCTTTCTTTCTGGTTAGTATTTTTCCTCTCCTCCAAGGAAATCTGGAAAGCTTTTTGTCCTTTCCTTTTCTTTCGTTTTTCTTCCTTTTCCTCAAAAATGCTTTCCTTTTCAATAATGAATGTAGGGTTTTGATTCTCTCTATATTTTTTTGGTCTCGGTTTTAGAAAGAGAGAAATGGCGGATTCGGAGCGGACTCGGGCGCCATGGACGGAGGCAGAGCAGAGGCCTGTGGCTATGGCCGAGATTCACTCTCACGAGTTGTCCATGTCGGAATCGGTGGTTGCGGCGGCGAGAGATGGCGCGGTGTTATCGGCTGTTCAGCCTGCGGGTTTGAACAACGCTTCGGATGGGAAATTCGGTTTCGCTGAGCGAGCTCTCTCTGCTGCTGGCGCCGCTTTCCTCTCTGTAATCATTGTTAATCCTCTGGATGTTGCCAAGGTAACGTTTTTTTTTTTAAATTGATTTTCTGTGAAATGATTGACGAATAATGAAGGTAAGCTAATAATTTGGGTTTTGATGGGGTTTCATTGAGTTAATCTAGGTTTTTGGTTCGTATTCTTTTTGTTTTTTCATTTGATTTTCTGTTCTCTATTTCGTTGTTGAGCACATTCAGGTAAAATAATGGAAAAGTGCTTTTATGGGGGAATTTCTGTTGATTGCTTTTCCTTGTTTTTCTTGGAATTGACTTGGTTCAGAAGAGTTCACAAATTAGGTTTCCTTGGTGTTTATTCTGAAACCCCCATATTTTGATTTATTTTTGTTTGATTATGATTTCATGAATGATGTTTAAGTTGCCAACTTGAATGTTCCTCTGTTAATCTGTTTTTATGTTTTTTTTTTTTTTTGGGTGCCTACTTGTTGTGGTTTTGTATGAATTGAACTTTGAACTGAAGAACGTTACTTTCTTCTCTTTACCAGACAAGGTTGCAAGCTCAGGCAGCTGGGGTTGCCTACTCCCATCCATTGAGTAATATTACAAGGCGCATGGGATATTTTGGACCGAGCATGGTATAAACTCATCCTTCCAAGACTTCTATATGTAAAAATGATTCTCATTCTTGTTTATTATAGACAGTGTTGTTTTGCTCTCAAGTTTGAATGGGGTTGCTTTTGTTGCTAATATAAGTTGCTATCACATAGTTGAAAAAATAATATATCGATATGTATGTTATTGCCTATTTATTTTGGTTGTTATAAGTCCGGCACATTGGAAATTGGGATGCCTCCATGGATATTTTTTTATAATTTTTGAAATCCTTAGAGGATCTAATGTGTATTTTAAGCATATAATTGTTGCTTCTTTTTGGTTTTTTAGAAATGCTTATAGCTATTTCTTTGATAACTCACATTTGTAATTTCTAGTCATTGATTCATATTGCGTAATGATTGGGGATGTCTTAACATGGTATTGGTACTAGCTTATGAGTTTATGCCATATATGTTTATGTTTTTTCCGTTATTGCCCTCTCATAGTTTGTGCTTGTGGCTTGATATTTTAGTTAATCCAGTTCTCTGCGAATGTTTGGTCCGTGAACTATTTTTGTTTATAATTTTGCAGTTGTTTGCGGATCTAAGATGTTCTCCATCATGTGCACGTGCGGGAGTACATGGTACTGTATCAATATGCCCTCCGGATTGTTTTCAGTACAAAGGAACTCTGGATGTCTTTAACAAAATCATTCGTGAGGTTGGTGGTATGCTAGTTATTGTCTCACTTTCCACCTTATAGTCAACTTTATATGTTCAAAAAGGCAGTTATTTTAAAGGAAGAATTTATTGGTGGACTCTAAATTGCACCTTGTTTCTTCTGCTACTAATGCATACTAAGGCTATCGATTGCCTGATATGAGGCATGTGGTTGTTTAATAAAAATCCCCGAGCACAATGTTCGATATACATTTATTGGAAGAAGATTTATGTGTTTTCTTAAGTGCCATATTTATCTTAGTCAGATTTTTGTTTCGTTTATATTTGCTTACTGGGAATTGATGTTTCAGGAAGGATTTTCAAGACTATGGAGAGGCACAAATGCTGGTTTAGCGCTGGCTGTACCAACAGTAAGCCCTTGAACTTGCTGAGATCTTATTTCTGGGCTGTTAATTGCTTGTTTTTCCCATGACGTAAAATATCATAGTTTTGTGATTTTCATTTGTTGTCAATTGCCTTTGTGTAATCAGGTTGGAATCTACCTACCTTGCTATGACATATTCCGGAACTGGTTAGAGGAACTCAGTGTCCAGAAAGCACCAAGCACAACTCCTTATGTCCCTTTAGTTGCTGGCGCGTTGGCTCGTTCATTGGCTTGTGCAACTTGCTACCCAATTGAACTTGCAAGGACACGCATGCAGGTAACAAGATGTCAATAGCCTTATTATTTATTGTGGTTCTGTGTCCAAATTATCATTTGTCAAGGATTTAGATTGATAGATACTTATGGAGTTTTTGCTTATTTTTGCTCCCTTGTTTGTCTGATAATAGGCATTTAAAGTGACTGATAGTGGTGTGAAGCCTCCTGGTGTTTGGAAAACTCTACTTGAGATTCTCTCTGATGTCAAGACCACAAACAATGGTCAAAACAACTGTAAGTCAAATTTTGCACGGTGCAACAGTTATGATAAGCTGATTTTTAGAATTAGGATTTGATGTCCCTCTCTTGTTACAGTGAAAAGCTACCGTGTCCTATGGACGGGCATGGGGGCGCAGCTTGCTCGTGATGTTCCCTTCTCTGCAATCTGTTGGTCCACTCTCGAGCCTGTGAGAATTCATTATCTAATTGTTTTACGTTATCCAGTTCCACTATATATGAACTATAAATTGTTTCAATACTAAGCCCATTCCTCCTCTTATCTCTACAGCTCAGAAGAAAGCTTCTTTGTCTACTGGGCGATGAAACCAACGTTGCAAGTGTCCTTGTGGCAAACTTCTCTTCTGGATTTGTGGCAGGAAGCCTTGCTGCTGCTGCCACATGTCCTTTAGATGTTGTAAAAACTCGAAGACAGATAGAGGTTTCATTCTTTGGCCCATTCTTTGGCCCACACTCTTTTAGAATCTCTTTATTGTCGATGTCTTATTTGGATAAATGTATTTTAGCTTCCCCATATCTGCTCTTGTGTTTTACATACTCGTCTTTCCTTTTAATTTTGCAGAAGGATCCAGTCCGGGCATTGAAAATGACAACTACACAAACGCTGAAGGAGGTTTGGAGGTATCCTCTCTACTTTATGATGTTGTTGTTGTATCTCTATACTTAAAGATAATCTTTACCAAATCTCACTAACAAAATGGGAACTGGGGCGGAGGGATTGAAAATTGACGTCCGATCTTCTCCCATAAAGTCTCGAATGTACTTGCATCTTTTCCACATGAATGATCCATTTGCATTTTGGTTTGGACAGGGGCGGAGGGATGAAAGGACTATTCACGGGCGTTGGTCCTCGCGTTGGAAGAGTAGGTCCTTCTGTTGGTATTGTTGTTTCATTCTACGAAGTTGTGAAGTATGTTCTACATTAACCGGCACACAGTTTCATGATCGGGGGACATGGATCTCCAAGCTTCGGTTGTTTATGCAAAGCATAATTAAAGTGAAATACTGGACGTTAAAGAACGGCCTGCAAGTTTTTGTTGATATGGTAGGATACACAGCAATAACGATGATAATCCTAGATACTTTTCTAGGCCTGCAAGTTACAGATACTTGCAATTTTGTCGCTCTTGATTGAGCAGAAATTTTGTTGTACTTGGCTCGTTTACTTGGCATTTCTTTTTTTGTGAGAGTTAGATCTCAGTTTTAATTTAAGGGAGAGTACGATTTTGTTGTGAATATGAGCCCAACTGGTTCTCAAGCGCAAATACGTAGACATTTGAGCCATTGATGTGCAGCTTTAATTAATATTAACAAGTAATTGGGTTGTAAATTTGAGATTGAAAACAAGGCAGAATTTACTTTTGAGAATGCATGAATCTAAGATTTTTATTTCTCATTCATGATTAATAATATTTTTTTGTTAGTATAGTTATTTGATTAAAGTGATTATTAATTAAGAGTAACGGGTAGAATTTATATACTTTAAAGGGTATTTGTTTCTTTTTTTTTTTCATTGAACAATATATAAGAACAATTATAAGAACAAGGTAACAACGACAAAAACGTTTAAAAATGACAACTAAAAACGTTTGTAGCAAAAAAAATCAACAACTAGTTGGGGACTTCTTGAAAGCTTTTTAAAACACAAGCGTGTTTTCATAATTTCTTCTTTTTTTTTTTTCAGGAGTACTTTATCCTTAAGAAAATGTACAATAAACTAAAAAAAAGAAAAAAAAAAAATCTCTTCAGGAAAGATACCAAACAAGTGCATCAATATCTTAAAAAGCGATCGCAAAGTCAAACCATAAATATTTTGAACTGGAATTAGTAACCGTTAAATCCCAATTGAGATTAAATTCCTATTCAAAGTTGAAAATTTGAGTTTTGGAACTCAAATCTTTTTTGTCTTTGTTGTTTTGTTTCTCCCTTTGTTCCTTTCTTATTTCAATTTGCACCGATACTGGGTAAGAATATGGGAAGTGTGGAACTTTGTCAAGACTTTAGAAAAATATGGAACTTGGAAATAAAGAGATTAAACAAATGGAAAAACAAAATAAACAATTGAGAAACTGTTAAAAAAAAACAAAATCTCTACAATAAGTCATTCCTTCCAAAATGAAAAGATAGACCACACACCCCAAATACACATCATCAGAACATTGAACGTTTCTAATTTGTTTATGTTATGCTTCTTTCCCACATAAGGTGACAAATCGGAAGTTGGTTCAATGAATGAGATATGTGAGCACCAATGCCAAAAGCATTAGGATGTACGCTATCCCTTGGTCTATCGCCGTGCCTGCAAAACACAAATTAAACAAAAATCAAGTCAAGATTTAACGTATATTTCTTTTAGCGCCGATAAGATCGAGCGATTAAACTCTACACCTTATGGTGGAGTTAGATGTGAAATTATTGTTAAACTATACACGTAAACACATATGCTTGTTCTTGCTTTTAAATGAGGTGTCATTTAAAAAGATAAATTTATTGTGCGTAAACGTGTTTTTTTTACCCCCCCTAAACACATCCATTATTCTTAGTTCTAATATTATATCCGTCACTTGAAAAAGTTCGTAACAAAGAAACAAAAGTTGTTCTCTTTTCATGCCAGGTTGATATTATAGTCTTTTATTTCTATTATTTTATTCATTTTGAGGAATGAAAAATGGAATCCAAAGCCAATATTCAGATTATCGTTGTTGAAGATTTACTCAATAGCCTAAAAAGTCTAAAAGCAAGCCAATTCACAATTTTCGTCATTCATGAAACTATTTACTAACCATGAATAAACAATGTAATTAAACGGGTTTAACATTTCTCGGGAAACAAACAGAAACCAACGAAGGATACGTTAAAGGGGCGAGAGAGAGAGAGAGAGAGAGCTAACCATCGTTCGTGGGAGCCGGAGCCGGGGCGGGGAAATCTGCACGAGTGGGGGGCAAAACGACGGCGTACATGACGGCAACGATTGCAAATGCTAGTCCAAACGAGGCATTTGTAAACGCCATTATTAACCCCTTTTTTTTTTTTTTTTTTTTTTTTTACTTCAATTCTCTCCCTCCCTCCCTCTCTCCTTTGTTCTTCAAATATAAGAAATCTCTCTCTTTGGGATAAGAGAGAGAGAGAGACACACAAAGAAAATGAAGCCAAAAACACGACGAGCTACAGACAAAATTATATTATTCAAGGGTGGTGGAATAGGGTTTGGGGAAGGGAAGGCATTTTATAGTGTCGAGATAAAGGCCATTTTGATCCCATGCAAAAATATTGTGTCCACCCGCATCTTAAGGGGACCCACATACCCATGTGAAATATTTTTGACCTTCCAAAAATTTTTTATTTTTTTTTCCTTTTTTGGTGCCCATTATCTATTCTGATAATGTCTTTTTAATTTTTATTTTTTTGTTGGCTCTTAATTTTAAGCTAGCTCTGTGTTTTGTTCTTTCTAAATTAAGTCAGAGCTGTAATAGGACGAGAGACAGAGTGTATGGCATATTGACATGCATTATATACGTATATATATATATATATATGTATATATATGTATGTATGTATGTATATACACCCACTTGTTGCCAGCAGGGATTCTTCTATTTTTAATTATTATCGTTAAAAGTAATAATGACTAGTATGATAATAATGGAAGGGTGACATTCTGTTTTATTCCCTATAACTATCTATTTTGGATTGTTTAGTGAGCCTCTTCAAAAGCGATGCAAGGTTGTAATGACTTGGGAGAGGAGGCTACAAGTAGTTTTCTATTGAGGCATTTACATCTATAGAAATAAACGGATCACTAATCAGATAGTTGAGGAAAAAAAAATTTCTTGATCTGATTTCTTTCAAAATAATTCTATATATAAACTAAAAATATTGAAAATGGGCTATGTCGTATACATTACTGTCGTTCTCGGAGGGAGGAAACGACATTTAGGCTGTGTTTAGAGTTGTTTTTGTTTTTATTTTTCACGTTTTTAAGAAAAAAAATCAAAACAGAAGAAAAACGGCATTTGGCACAATTAAAGATAAAAAATAGAAATAAAAACGATTTTTTGGTTTAGTATAAAATGGGAGAGAAATGAAAAACGACTTTTAGTCGTTTTTCATTTTATATTTATGTTTTCTCCTCTCTTGAATAGAGAGAGAGACATTAATTGATTTTTTTATACTGAAAACAATCTCTTAAAAAAACTACCAAACTCATTTTTAAAAATAATTTATGTCTGCGATTGAAAACGTTTTTATTTTCATTTTTATATAAAATACAAAATCATTTTAGAATAAATTTCAAACGCACCCTTAACTTTTACCTACAAGGAAACAACATATGTTGTTTATCAATGATTCTTGTTTTCTCGAAAGGTAAAACGAATAGGGCATTCTTAAACGAGATTTAGTTATGTCTACGATGACAATTTTAAAAACATGGGAGTAAAACTTAAACGATCTTGTAGTTTTCCATTTATTCCTGTTTTTCTGGGGAAAAAAAAAGTACATGTCATCTTAAAATGTCGTTTTTTAAAGAAAGGACATGGCGTTCATTGTTTTTAAGCAGAACGACATTGTTTTGAAAGCCGACTAGACGTTTCGTTATAAGGATACGAACGATGTCACACACCGTCGTTCTTGACCAGAGCCGTAAACGACATCTTGTTTTATGTTGAGGAAAACTACGTTTGCTGTTGATTATTCTTCTTCTCGAAACGAAACAACACCGTCATTTTACAAATGTCGTTTTTCTACAAAAGCAGCACGTCATTCCTTTCCTTTAGCGCACCCAAAAAAAAAAAAAAAAACAAGTGTCGTACTTGTCAATGTTGGTTTTCTTCAAGAGGACTTGATGACATTTGGTGTTAGGCCTTGTTCAGTACTGCTTCGATGCTTTCGGCTTATTAGATCCAAAAACTGTTTCTAGAAATAGTTTGATGATCTATCAAGAATGTTTCGAGTTTTTAAAAGGCCCTTCATTTCGCGGATTTAAATTTAGAATTTAACTTTTTTGTTACAGTAAAAAATTCTCAGAAATAGTCAAATTTAACTTTTTTATTACAGTGAAAAGCTCTCATACAAAGTCATATCTCAACTCAAATTAAAAATTCGAATCAAACGAATTAAACAGACCCCAAAGCCACAGAATGATGTTTCTAAAGAAGACACTTCTCAATAAACATTGAAATTTGTATCATAATTTCATTAGTGTTGTAAATTTAATTCTAACACTTTATTGCTTATTAAGAAATTTTGACCCAATAAACTATTTTAAAAGTGGACACTTACTAAAAAATTACAGCTTTTAGTTATTTTTTTTTAAAACAAAAATAAAAGCTCTGTGGCCGTCTAAAGTAAACTTTTTTAAAAAATAAAAAAAATAAAAAATAAAATAACATGTATATATGTATATTTATGCACCATAGATCACAATGGCATAAAAGCTCATACTCTCAAATATCTCAATCATGATTCATCATAGATATATAGGACTTGTTCTTTTTTATTTTTGAGTTAAGGTGATTTGAATGATGATTTTGAGTTATAAATTGAGTTGAAGTTATAACTTAAGTTTGTGTTTGGAGGTGCACATTTGAGTTATGATTTGAATTGAGAATATATTTGAGTTTGTGTTTGGGTGAGTCAAAACTTAAATTTGTATTTAGATAGTATTTTAATAAAAACTCAATGGTGATGAAAAATTTAATAGGGTATATGGGTGAGGTTTTATTTGTCTTTTCGTTGTGAATGCATAGCAAAAAAAATCATCTCAATCAGAATTAAAACGAAAAAAGTATGATATTTTTAAGAATAGAAAAAATAATATTCATTAACTTGAGTTCGAGTTTATAAACTCGAGTTAAAGGAGAAATTTAAACTCGAGTTTAGCCTCAAACTCGAGTTCAAACTCAAATTTTACAAAAGAATATGAACTTGAATAAAATTGTAACTCGAGTTTAAATTTTTTTCTGAGTTTCGTTGCAAAAGAAACCCTTCTGCTCCCATGGCACAAGAGGTGAGTGTAGGTCCTGTTCATTTCGCTGATTTAAGTTTAGAATTTGAGTTTTGTTACAGTAAAAAGCTCTCACAAACAATCATATCTAACTTTTTTGTTACAATTAAAAGCTCTCACATAAAATCATATCTCAACTCAAATTAAAAACTTGAATCAGCGAACTAAACGAACCCATTATTGCATCTCACAAAACTTTATAAGCCGCTTGCAACTAAATAGATGGTGGTGGAGGAGGTGGAGTGAGGCCAAAGAAAAGCTCCCATGGCAAACTTCCTCTTCTGCTCAACACTTCCCATGGCCGGGAGGCCGTATTCCGAGAGAAGCCGATCGACCTTCCACTCTGGCATCGTCTCGTACTCCGATTTCGAGTACTTTGGATAGTGCAATGGCATTTGGAAGAACGCAGTTGCCTCTTTCCTTTGCTTATCATTCCCTTCAGCACTCGTAAAGGACTCCATTTATGCTTCTCTCTTTCTTCTCTCCCTCACACACATACAGATTATAGTCTCTCTTTGAGGCCTTATAAAGAAGAAGAGTAAAAAAGAAAATAGGTGGATTCTAGACAAAAACGTTTCCTTTTTCAAAGGCACAAGGATTCGATTCCTAAGAAAATTGTCTGGCTAAACCAGCAGGCTACAATTTTAATTCTAGAAATGCCCTTTGGCTTCTTCTACAACAAGATATGATCCTTTCACTAAACCGGAAGGAGATTAGTGTAATTTTGTGTGTTTTAAGTATGCTGGAGCAGTTGAGAAAAGTCTCCAAACCACAATTTCTAATTCCCAAACTTCCAAAGCTTTTGTCTGCTTCCTATTATTAGGCTGTAATTTCGATTGTCTTGGTGAACTACCTTTGCACATGTTTAGCCGAAAAATAACATTCACGTCATGAAAATAACGTTTTAATACATCATCCAATCCCTCAGGTAAGTTATTATAATGGAAGTGTCCTCTATATTTTGGCCTTTCCCTAACTGCACTTCTATATTGCCAAATCTTTTGTGAGTTTGATTCTAAATGGTCTTTGAAAAATGCCACATGTCACTCAAAAGTCTTGATGATGCTGTATTTATTACATTCTCAAGGTTTACCATACCCACACGTTTTCCAATTCTTTCAATTGATTGATTATTAGGACAAGTAAGAACTTACAGAGTATGTTTGTTTCCGTTTTTGAAAACGTTTCACGTTTTCAAAAGAGCAAAAACGAAAACATTGTGAAGATTACGTTTGGTGACCCATTTTCTCAAAAACAAAATTAAGAACTCCCATTTTCATTTCCTTTTTTATCTCATGTTTCTAAAAATAATTTTTTATCGTTTTCATTTTACTTGTTTTCATTTTCTCCACCAGATTTCCTTTGACTCCTCTCTGAAATCACCAATCTCCCTCTCATCTTCTCTCCACATCTGCTGTTCTGAGCTCATCTCTTCTCCCGATAACTGATAATCCATTAATCCATCTCCAACATTCTTTCCCGAAACCGTGAGGACCTGGACGTGCTTACCAACATAGTCGAAGACCTCCGCGGCTGTCCAAGCTGAATCCAAGCCTAAACCCTTTTCATTATGCTATCTATAGCTAGTACATTGCAGCATAATGAAAAGGGTTTAGGCTTCACTCAATGTACTTTTTAGTTAACTACCTTTGTTGTTTTTTTTCTTTTTTCTTTTAATGTTTTAAGTTGCTAAAACATTTTAAACTCTGTCCAATCACGTTTTCCTATTTACAAAAATGGCTCTAAGTCTAGGCATAACTTAGATAAAGATGGTCGCAATCTATATGATGATCGAATTAAAACTCAATGGCATGATCACACAATCTATATAAGATATAATGAGAAGAAATGTAAAATTTCCCAAAGCAACAATTCAATTCCCCAACCCATTAGGTGTTGGTTGGAATAAGTCTTTGGTTTGCTCCCATAAGGTCCGGAGTTCGAACCACCTGGTGCCCTTATATGATATGTGTCTTTTAAAAATTATAGGGTTTGCCGGAGGGCTCCAATTTCAAACTCAGAGTCACAGAGTTTAGGGGAAATCTGGACATCAAAAGAAAAATATATATTTCATTTTCCCAGCTTAATCTGATTTTGTGACAGATAATATTGACTAATGGTCATGTACTTAAGTTAAATTCACAGCGTCCGAAGATGATTACAAACTCAGCCTTCACTGAGCATTAGCCTAACGAAGCAAGTACAGGGATTAAATATCTTACAACTATCAGCATATTGTACCATAACAATTCAAGAGCTAATTTTTTCTTTTTACAGCCGATCCTAATACATGTAAAAACCGGATTAGAAACCAAAAGGGACTATAAATTTTTACACCAAGAGTGAAAAGGACCACCACAAAAAAAAGCCACTTTGAAATACACTTCTTTCTAAAGTTCCAACACTTCATAATGGCACCTTACACTGCAAATCAAGGAAGGAAGAGTGGATCCTCTTTGTTCTCGTATATAGCAAAAAGTTGCTTAGAGTATTTGGTGGCCCAATTTCTGCACCATTCGACGGCCTTGGAATCATACTTCTCCAAATCCTTTACAGACACTTTCAGATCACCTTGGGGGTCTCCACCTGTAAGAAACTCGGCCAAAGAAGTCCCTCTGGTGCATAGGGCGAAGTTTAAATGTCGGGAGAAATAGAATGATTTTATGAAACCAACCAAATGCATTGACTCATGGATTACAGAAAGTCATTAGTATAAGAACCATTTTGCATGGTACTAAAATTAATCAAGCTGTACTGAAAAAGATTAGTCAACAGTTAACACCATTGGTTTAGAAAACTTCTATCGGACAAAAAATAGTAATTGGTAATAATAACAGAAAAACAACTCGTAGAGAAAAATGGGGAGAGAGAAATATAAGACTGGTGGCATCAAACAGTAACAGAGTACAAAGGTGATTAGCTCTTCAAATATTAGAGGTTAAAATCCATACCTGAAAGCATCAAACTTGTTGAACCCACGGTTGTTGTGATGCAATGATCCCTTGCTTGCCTTTTCGTCAGCAGTCTGCTGGCGGTAAAGAGCACAAACAGCCTTCATGCACAATTCATCATCCTTGCCGAAATCTGCAAGCATGTCACCCTCTAACTCCCACTTGGAATTTTTCTCTCTTTTCCTCTGAAAATTAGATAAAATCTTAGATAAGTCTTCTTCTTCATCTGAACTACCATCGGTTTCACCAGAAACCTCATCACCTTTAGATTCATCAGAGCTGTCGACAATAAATCCACCAAGAGTTTCATCTTCATCATCTGAGCCCGTCACGTCCGACTCATCATCTTCAGAATCTACATGAGTAGAAATTCCACGACCACATCTACTTTCAGTTGTATCACTTGATGGCTTTTCCTCTGACCTACCTTTCCCCCTGCATTTCCTTAGTGGCACCAGGCGCCTCCTTGGACGGGTTGCGGATTCTTTTTTGGTGTCAACTGAAGTATTAGCATTCACATAGGAGTCATTATGAACAGGACCTATGTCCCCAAGATTCATCCTCTTGAGTCTAGAAATTGGAATGTTATCGTCACTGTCACTATCAGTATCACTCATGACCATATTTTGAGCTCGTTTCCTTTTTGGAGTCGGAACCGGTGGAATTTTTTCTTTGCATGCACCTATATCTTCCACATTGTTCCGGTCACAGTTTGTCTGCTTCAAACTCATCTCCCTAGTCATCCCCTTTTCACTAGTTACATTCCCTTCTAAGGCACACTCCAATGGGCTGACAATCTTTCCATCTCCCGCATCATCATTAGGCAATTTGACACGGGTATTATTAGGTTCTTCATCACTGTCAACGATATCAACAATGGTGCGAGATGAAGGTCTAGTAGCAGCAGGGGTAGATGGAGCCATCTTCTTACAAGAACTCTTCTCTTGCTTGAATGCCAATTGTCTTCTAACGCGCTGATTGGTGGTATACTCAACTGTAGAATCTAAACAAACACCTTTAGGTTCTTCCTTGATCCAATCATCACGTTTACACGGTGTGTAATTAGAAGCTGAACCTGCCACAAATTTGGAAAAGATTACAATAAGACTATACCTGACTAAATAATGGCATTTTAGAAAACTATGGTACAATTTTTTTTTAAGTGTCCGAGACTTTGCCCGAACTAATCTACGAGATCCATGCAAAGCGCCCCCTCTACATGGATCAGGTAAATCTCGTACCCTTGGCCCATATGCGTGGCCTTAAGGAACTGATAGTACCCAATGGGAATCGAACCTTATATCTAACCTAAGGCACTAAGTCCAAGTGACTCAACATTGAGCCAACTGGGGTTGAAAACTATGGTACAATTAGGAATTTAGGATTGCAAGTTGCTAAAGGAGTAGAAGCCCCCAACTGTATTTCAGAAACCATACAAGACACATGATAAGAAATTACCAAAATTCACTTGGTGAATAGGCAAGGCTGATTCAAGATTCATCTTTTATCTTTTATCTTTTAAGGCTTAAAGAAAATGACAATAAAACTTCAACAATTCTATTTTTCATGTAAACAAGATATGCAAGTAGAAATGCATACAAATTATAAATATCTGCAGTACAAGTAAGTGAATTTTATTTTGACACCTGCTGGTTTCAGATCACCAATCCATTTATCAGGAGAGCGGAGGATCGGCACAAAGTCCACCAAATCCACAAATTTCTCCTTGCTTCCGTCTGACATTCCAGCCAACAGCCACTGTTCACCGCCCGACACAAAATTCTTTTGCATATCTAACATCTGCAACCTCAATTCCTTAAACTTATTCTCCCAAGCCTTAGCATCTCTTTCCGCCCTTTGCTTCTCAATTTCCAAAACTGTATTCACAAGCATCAGCTCAGTAGTCCTATCTTCATCCAAGCCATCCCCAGTCAGATCAACAACTCTCTCTATCCTCTTTGCTCCTCCAAAATCTGTCTTGAATCCATCTTTACCGCTATGAATGCGCTCCTTAAGTTCATCAATCTCTCTCTTCAAAGCCTCTAGTTGTTCCTCAATAGCAAGCTTCTCAGCTTCCACAGCCCTTAACTTGGCCTCAAGTGCTTCATACTCAGTTTCCTTCTTTTCAATATCCAACTCCGAAACCACGCAATCGCCATTAGTTGCCATGATCTTCTCATCCAAATCACTACACCTGCAATCCCCCACCTCTTTTGCATATGAAATTGCGCGATTCTACCTACAAATCACATCTTCAAAATTGCTGGTCCACATTATAGAAATTCAATCAGAAAACTAAAGTGATTAAGCAAATGTATAATTTGTCAATGAATATTTCCTTAAAGAGAAACCAACTTAAAAATTTCCAAACAACGTAATCTTTCTTCTGTTACAAGAAACCAAAAAAAAATATATCATTTTTTTTATCAGCAATCAAACCAAAGTCTTTCAAAACCCAGAGACTGGTTTAATTTAACTTACACAGTGAATAAAGAAAAGAGAATGGGAAAGTTTCGAGCCTTTTCTTTTTTATTTCTTTCTTCCACACTAAATTTATAAAACTACGAAAAAAAGACCACACTAACTCAGAATTATTCCACTTTCGACCGAAAAATAAACTTGGCATTGCAATTTTCTGGCTTTCGTCTGCAAAAGGTCAAAGCTTTTCTTTGACTCAAATTAAAGAAAAATGGAAAAGCTTTGAACTTTCTTGGATACACTCTAAATTTCTTAAAGGAAAAAAGAAAAAAAAAAAGCCACACTAGATCAAAAGATTAAAGATAGAGGAAAAAAAAGGGGTAAAAAGCTTACCAGAGAAGCTGAGTTTTCTTCTTTATGGTTCACAAGCTCACAAGTCGAAGAACGACGAAGAAATGGCCGGAGTTTCAGAAAATAGACGGGAATTTAAAGCTTTACTAGGTGTTTTATTGATTTTCTCTGCAAAGAAAACCAAAACGAAACCCAAGCCCCAAGGTACCGGAGGGAGAGAGAGAGAGAGAGAGAGAGAGAGAACTGGAAATAGAAGTACAGTCTATAGTAGTAGAACAGAGGAGCGGAAGTTGGCTTTCTTGATACGGCATCGTATCGCTGTAGTTTGCTCTAACTTTTTGGCACACGTCAGCATTTTCCGACACTCTTTTTCTTTTCATTCGTTTTTTAGGTAATTAACATTAGTCCCCAAGCTTTTAATAGGTGACAATTTAAGGCCTAATTAGTTCATTGATTCGAGTTTTTAATTTGACTTCATATGTGATTTTGATTTAGTTTGGTAGTGTTATAGATTTTGAAAAAATTACTTTTAACTGTGCTGAAAAAAAAAAATTGTTACAAAAAGCAACTGAGTGTTTAGATCTTGTTCATTTCGCTGATTCGAGTTTAGAATTCGAGTTTTGCTACAGTAAAAAGCTCTCAGAAACAGTCACATCTAACTTTTTTGCTACAGTAAAAAGCTCTCACATAAAATCACATTTCAACTCGAATTACAAACTTAAATCAGCGAAGTGAACGTGAGTAAACTATAATTATAATAGATGTGTTGATTTTAAAATCAGTGTAATAACATTTAGTAAATTATGAGATCATTAAATTAATATAGATAGTTAAAAATTACGATTATATTATAATATAATATATATAATTACAATATAATATATATTATTATATTTAATATAATAAAAAATTATTATAATATAATATATTATATAATTATGATATAAAATATAACAATATTATCAAAATGGTTAATATAATTATAATATAATAAAAAATATTATAATATTACATAAAAAATAATAATATTTCAATTATAATATAATTAAAAATCACAACTATATTATATTATACTATAGTATAATAATATATATAATTATAGTATAATATATAATACTTATTATATTATATTAAATAAATAGATTATAATTAATATGTTATGTAGGGCGTAATACACTATAATAGATAATAATATTAGAATTATAAGATTATATTAATTATTATATTATTATTTATTAATATAATAAATATAATTATATCAATACAATATAATATATAATATATTATAAAATAATAATTACAATATCACATTATAATTATAATATTATATTATTAAAATAATTATAATATAATTATAATATCATATTATATGATAAAATAATAATATTAGAGTTATTAATATAATTATGATATTATTTATTACAATATTACTATTATATTATATTATAATACATTATGAGTCTGAATTTTAAATCAGGAAGATTGTAAATTTTAAATTTCATTAGGAGTATTATGAGTATTATGAAAATTTCATTAATTATACTATATTGATTCTTGTACAATCTAAAAGCTAAAGTTGTCTTTAAGCTGTTTCTAATTTTGGCTGGAGGTTCTTAAAAAATTCTTCAAAATTCACTTTTGAGGAGATTTACCAAACACTAAAATCAGCTTATGCTATAAGGAGAAGCTGATTTTATGAGAGAAAAACAATACCAAACTAAGCCTTTATGTGAAAGCTTTTTACTGTAGCAAAAAAATTAAATGTGACTGTTTATGAGAGCTTTTTACTGTAGTAAAACTCGAATTCTAAACTCAAATCGGTGAAATGAACGGAACTTTAATTTTTATTTTTTTAATTTTGATAAAATAATTTTTAAATTCTTAATAGACGTTTGGTTCATAAATTTAAGATTATGATTCAAAATTATTCTTAATTTATATATTTTTTTAATAAAAAAAATATTATAATAAATCATAAATTATAATTCAAATTATAACACCAATAACTCTAAACGCACTCTTATAGTCTTATTAGCAATTAGGACCTTTCCGCCCATTTCTCTTCCCGTCTTCTTCTTTCGATTTCTGGGGTGCAAAAGAAAGGGGCCAAAAAAAAAAAAAGTCCATTCTCCGCCAAATGAAAATTTTCAAGCTTCTCGGCCAAAATCCCGTTCTCCGTTACAGAAAACACTCAATTGCCAATGCCATGGAGTTTCCAGATTATAGAGGCTCGTTTAAGGGTCTCTGTTCTCGTTCAGCAGAGGAACCGGAGCTTAAGGATTTCATGGAGTACATGGATTCTCTCAAGAACTACGAGAAATCGGGCGTCCCCAAAGGTGCCGGCACTGATTCCGACGACGGCTTCGATCTCCGTCGGATGAGACGCTTATTGGAGCTTCTCGATAATCCTCATTCCAAATTCAAGGTTCGAAATTCCGAATCAACCTTTTTTTTTCGACCTTTTCTTCGTTTTCTGTTTGGCTAGTGGTAAAACAGTGGAAAAGGCAAAGGAAAGCGAAGGTTTTTAGGTGTTTTGGTTTTGTTTCTGAATAGAATTATTTGAAATGGCCTGTTTGGATAAAAGGAAAAACTTGAAAATTCGGTGTTAAACTAGATAAAGCTTTCCATTTTTATGTTATTCAAGCCAACCCGTGATTCACATTCGCCTCAGCTAAGGAAGAACATTGCCAAAATTTTATCTTGCTGAAGTGAGAAGAGAAAAAGAGAGTAATTGATGTTCAACAAGAGTGAAATTTTTAGCTCACTCTCCATATATATATATATATATATATATATATGTATATTCTCTATAGTATATATGTATATTCTCTATATATGTATATATATTATATATATATGTGTAAAATATATTTATTGAACTAAATTTGGATTTGACGAGCATAGCAGCGATTTTAGGCCATTCATATTGCTGGGACCAAAGGAAAAGGATCAACTGCTGCATTTATCTCCAACATCTTAAGAGCAGAAGGGTATTCAGTTGGTTGTTATACAAGGTGTTTGTTCAGTATCCTTATGTTATGTAGAGCTCTTATTCTGATTGTACCCCTCTTTTATCATGGTTTTCTGAAATACGCTTCATTTGGCCAATGTAGCCCGCATATCCAGACTATCCGAGAACGTATATCGTTGGGAAGATTGGGCGAGCCAGTGTCAGCAAAGGCTTTAAATGATATTTTTCATCGAAGTAAAAAGATTATCAACCAGGCGAGGGAACTTGAAAATGAGCGTATTAGTCATTTTGAGGTGTCAATTTTGTAACACTGGTTCTGTTCGAATTTGCTAATTCTTAATTGTAAAAATTGTAGAGAAACTTAACAGATATCTCAAAAGTAGGTATTAAGGTTCAATTGATGGTTTTATTTCCTAAATAAGTTTAGTTTGAAGCCCATAGTGTCCTTTTTGTCTCCGGGATGGTATCCTTTCATTAATTTGATTATAGCTTTGATTTGATCTATTTACCACAAATGTTGAAACTGCAAAAAAGTTTATTGTTCCAAACTTTGTTTCGTCACATTCATACTGAACTGACAACTAGAGTTGATGCCGGGAATAAGGATTATATTTACTGTTCAATGCTTATAACTGTGGGTGTGTATCATAACTATTTGTGGTGTGTAAATAATCTTCTATGTGATACTTCATTTTGAATTTTTCTCTCTTCAATGTAGGTTCTGACTGCAATGGCATTCAAATTATTTGCTCAGGAGAATGTTGACATTGCAGTTATTGAGGTTATTCAGTTTTCCCACGTGATTTCTTTCAGCTCTTCTTCTACGACTAGTGGGTTTCAAATGATCTTATATACTTTATTGTGTTGTTTTTGTGGATGACCAATTTTATTTGTGTTAATTTTGTACAAGAAAAGGATGTATAAGGTTTAACAACACTAATCTTGTTCATACCACATGTAATAGGCGGGGCTGGGGGGTGCACGAGATGCAACTAATGTCATCTGTGGCTCTGGACTTGTGACATCAGTTATTACCACAATAGGCGAGGAACATTTGGCTGCCCTTGGGGGGTCTCTGGAAAGCATTGCAATGGCGAAGTCAGGAATTATTAAACACAAGCGCCCAGTTAGGTGGTTCTACCTTTGATATTTCTAATGGATTTATCTGATCCGCATAAACTAAATGGGTTGACTTGACTATTAATGCAAAGTATGATGTTTTATTATGAAGATGTACACTTTTTATTAAAAGGGTTTTGTATTTTTTTATACTTAACTCTGTTTAGAAATTTAAACTTTCAGTTGGTTTTGGGTGGGCCATTTCTCCCGCATATTGAGAAAATTCTTCGAGATAAAGCGTCATTGATGTCTTCACCTGTAGTATCAGCTTCTGATGCTGGAAACCGAAGTAGAATCAAGGGCGTTGGCTTGCTAAATGGTAGACCTTGCCAATCTTGTGATATAGTGATACAAGCTGATAAAGATTTAAAACTGGTATGCACTTTTATTTTCGTGTATGATTGACTTGATACAGTACTAATGGTGATCATGCAATGTTTTCTATGCTGGTCTTTTGGAGCTTTTACTAAGAACTTATGATCTCTTATTCATTCAGTCCTTTGAGTTGTTCGATGTAAAACTATACATGCTTGGGAGCCACCAGCTTCAAAATGCAGTCACTGCCACTTCTACAGCACTTTGCCTTCGTGAATCAGGTGCGCTAGCTAATTCCCCCCCCCCCCCCCCTCTTTTTGAGTATTTTTTTTTATTTGTTTACTTTTTCCTTGTTTGCACTGATATATGTCAATGTGAAAACGAATTTTTGTACATTAGTTGAAATGTTTGTGTGAGGTATAGATACTGTTTTGCTGAGATAAGGACTCTGGTTCATGAATTCTCTTTATGTGGCAAACGTGGCCTACTGCACATACAGAGGATAAAGCTGGAATACCGTCTAATGATATTCTGGATGCTTCAGGGTGGCAAATTTCTGATGGATCTATTAGAGCTGGTTTAGAGAATTCATGCTTGCTTGGAAGAAGTCAATTCTTAACGTCCAAGGAAGCTGAAAGATTGGGACTATCTAAAGCAATGATAATGTTGGATGGAGGTTCTTTCTTGTTTATATTTTTTACTGATTGATTCATCTCTACTATTTCAGTTTCCCTTTGGACGTCTCTTCAATATTATTGCATAGCAGTATCTCTTACAGCAGTTTCCTGGAATATTTTTTCAGCTCACACCAAAGAATCTGCTAAAGCATTGTTACATACTATACAAATGGCATTTCCCGGGGCACGCATGGCTCTTGTGGTTGCTATGGCCAGTGACAAAGATCATGTTGGTTTTGCAAGGGAGTTCCTTTCAGGTATGCTCCTTTTGTGATGAATAATCTGTTATTATTTGCTTATGTATAGCCTTTTCCTTTGTGGAAGCCTTGATAATAAAGACAACCCTTGTATATTTATTTCATACTTTAGAAGATATATGGATACTACTTATCTCAAAAACTGTTGATAGGTAATTACAGTAGAAATTTCAATTCCTTAATGCAGTTTTGCCGACACAGTATGTGTCGAGTGTAGAATAAGATATTAAGAGCATGTTTGGTGCACCATATAAGCTCTCTTATATTGTATTATTTAAGAATAATACAATGTTTGGCAACATTTCATACATTGAATAAAACTTATACAATACAATACTATACGATACAATATGATACAATACAATACAATACAGTGCATCAAACATACCCTAATGTTTGGTACGCCGTATAAGCACTCCGTATTGTATTATTTAAGAATAATACAATGTTTGGCAACATTTCATATATTGTATAAAAATTATACAATACAATACTATACAATACGATACAATAAAATATGGTGTACCAAACATGCCCTAAGTTTGTGTTTTAACTTTTATCCTCCAGTGTAAATGGGCTATGGTCTCCCCACTATGTTTATTGAATTCTGGCCCTAAAATTTGATGATAAATGCGGTGTTAACAAGCAGTCCTACGGAGAATTCTAATAGATTTCCACTTATCCTCAGGTGGACAAATAGATGCCGTCCTTTTAACTGAGTCTAACATTGCCGGGGCCAAATCTCGAACAACTTCAGCGTCATTCCTAAAAGATTGTTGGATCCAAGCTTCCAAAGAGTTGGGAAAAGCTTTTCTTCACGACGAAATGGCAGAATACCAGGATTTGCTTGATGCTCAATTTGACGGCTCCACGAGTGTTTTGAAAAATAAAAATATTTTGACCGCTGAGGCCTCGGTTTTATCTTCGATGAAGATTGCGGATCAGATTCTGAGACGTAAGGCGGATAATGGTTCTGGCATTATTATAGTTACAGGATCGTTGCATATTGTATCGTCTGTATTATCTACTCTTCATCGCTGATTTTTTTTCCCCCCTTTTCCCTCAGCCCCAAAAACTTTTGAGTCAAATTTTGTTAAGAATCTTTTTGTTTAATTCATATGTTGTAAAACTTTAATGAAAATCAACCAGTAGACTGACTTTTCCAGGGAAAAAAATTGTACATTCACAAGGAACCCACCACTTATCAACTACATGTCCTTACTCCAATGGAAATCAGATGAGATTTTAATTTGCTATTCCTTGTTTGAGCCTTGAGGAAAAATGATGCGGGAGAAGAAAAGAAAAGAAAAATGAGTGTTTGATGATTGATAAGGTACCACAAGAAAATGGGTCCCATACTTATATTAATGTTCAGGTCACAAGAAGCATGAATACATGTTTTAAATGATATTTGTCTCTTTCAGCAAAAGAATGAATAAATATAATAAAGAAAATGAAAAAAAAAAAAAAGATAAAATTGTCTCTTAACTGCATGGTCCTCTATTCATCAAATCTTCTTACCTACCAACAAGAAGAGTTATTTGTGCCCTTTCTCCGGTGTTTTGCTACAGCATAAAGCAAAGATTGTATCCATTTTTGGGCTCCAAATTCTTGTTCGAAAATTAGAGTGGGCAACAATAACGCCACGTTTATACTTTCAACAAAGCAAGCATATTAGGGAGTGAGAATGAAAAACTTTTTCTCATCCAAAAACAAAAGGGAAAAAAAATAAAAAAATAAATGGTGAATATATAAATAGGTGAAGCTGAACATGATGGCCTTAATTAATTTCGTACCCATCCATAAGTGGATTCTTATAAAGGGATGTTTCATGTTTGTATCAAATTTCTAAAAGAAATCCAATACTCACTCCAGAAAAATAACTAGATACACTGTCACAGTGCATTAAGAAAACACATTTCATGTAAATTTGTCGAAAATGGGATTTGTCCATGATTTTCAACCAAGTTAAATTCTTCACATAAAAAAAAAAAAGGGGCTCCGCAATTCACGTAAATTTGCATATAAATCACTATAAAAAGACGGAAAATAGTAAGAAATAGGTCAATATGAAAAGCTTAAGAAAGTATATAGGCTAATTTTTAGTTATAGAAATTAATAAGTCATAACTTGTCAAGTTATGGTTCATAACTAGATAAGTTATGGACAAATGATTTAAAGCCAGACAAGTTATGGACAATTATGGACAATAACTTGTCAAGTTATGGTTCATAACCAGACAAGTTATGGACGAAAACAGTAATTTAGCATATTTATTAACTTATGTAAATTATTGACCTATTAATTTTAATTCATCTCATATTTTAACTTATTTCTCTCTTTTTCCCTAAAAAGACGCACCAAAACACCCCGGAATCACTACTTATAACTACATGCATGAAAGTCATATATTCCTAGGGTGTAACAATAACAGATAAATCTTTCAAAAGCAAACACAATAATCATATATTAATTGAGTAAATCTTTCAAAAGCAAACACAATAATCATATAATAATTGAGAGCTCAACATTAAAGAAACGCTGTGGATTATATGCTCCTAGCTAGTTGTATATGTGATCTACCATCGTACAGCTAGGCTGCGTTTGAACAGTACTCAGTCGTGATTGTATTACTATTATTTCTGCTATTTTTTTAGGAGAATTTTTTCCTGCTGTTTTACTCATAAAATGCAAAATTTTTGTTACATATATTCATATAGGACCACAGCATATATGATATATCTATCTATACATAATTTATTTAAATATATGCAGGGATATTTATATTTTTATACCCAGTATTTTAAGTTTATTCAAAATCTATACTTTTAATTTTTAATCTTATCAAATATATACATTCAAATTAGATTTAATATACAAATATATGACCTATATCGGTCAATAATTAATTTTGACTTTTAAATGACTAAACTATTCTTAAAAAAAGGGGAAAAAAAACACTAAAACTTTCTAATATTAAGATAATTAAAAATTAATAACACAAAAAATCCATTTAAATGGTATTTTACATATTTTAAAGGTCAAAATTGTGAGTTTAAAGTTTTTTTTAGGTGTTTTTTCTATTTTTTATTTAAGAGTATTTTAAGGGTTGTTCTTTTGTAACAAAACTCAGAAAAAATTTAAACTCAAGTTACAACTTTATTCAAGTTCACGTTCTTTTAAGTTCCAACTTTATTTAACTTTACTCAACTTTATTCAAGTTACAACTTTAACTCAAGTTATAACTCAAATTCAACTCAAAAACAACACTCAAGTTACATTCTTAAGGGCCGTTTAGTTCGCTGATTCGAGTTGATATGTGATTTTATATGAGAGCTTTTTACTGTAGCAAAAAAGTTAAATGTGATTATTTGTGAGAGCTTTTTATTGTAGCAAACTCGAATTCTAAACTCGAATCAGCGAAATGAACGGGGCCTTAAAGTTAAAATCCAAGGGGCTGCTCAGCAGCCATTTTTTTGAGTTAAAAACTCAAAAAAAAGCAACTCGAGTTACAACTTTATTCAAGTTCATGTTTTTTTAAGTTTGAACTCGAGTTTGAGACTAAAACTCGAATTCAAATTAATGAACAATATTTTTTCTATTCTTAAAAATGCTATAACTTTTTCGTTTTAATTCTGATTGAGATGATTTTTTTTTCTATGCGTTGACAACGAAAAGACGAATAAAATCTCACTCATATACCCTATTAAAATTTTCCATCAGCATTGAGTTTTTATTAAAATACTATATAAATACAAATTCAAGTTTTGACTCACTCAAACACAAACTCAAAAAGATTCTTATCTCAAATCATAACTCCAATGTACACAACCAAACACAAACTCAAGTTACAACTTCAACTCAAATTATAACTCAAACTCAACTTAAAATCTATACTCACATCACTTAACTCAAAAATGACAAAAGAACAGCCTCAAGATTATTGTTAAAAAATATAAATTTTGATATTAAATTTAATTTAAAGGAGTATAATTTTTAAATAAATTCAAAAAAAACAAAAGTAAAAATCCCATATATGTATATATAGAGCATCACTTCTGCATTCTCTTTACTTCACGTAATTATTGCGGAAACTCCTTTTGCATGCCAAGAATTTATTACTTTTTGCAGGAAATTCTGATATTTATGGGCATTTAATTGGCATTTAGTACTTCTAAGCGTTGCGCCGGTATTCTGTTGAAAAATGGATCATTTCCTTTTTTGGTGTTAATTTTTCTGTTTAGTACTCCATTTATATATTTCACTACTAATCATTCTTGTTATCACTTTGCTGACATCAATATTAAAGAAACTTTTTTCTTTTTGCCCCTTACAGCGCAAGTTGCTGAATTAATATTCATTAATCTCTTATCATCTTTAGCTCGTATGTTTATGCTAGTGTCTCAAACATCTGAATAATATCTATTATATATATTGTCGGATTTATTAAAATATATATTTTCATGAAGTGGAAATTACTCATTTTAATAATTATAATATTACGAAGAGGATGGGAATTGCAAAAACATGATAAAATATTAAAATATTATATTTCACTTGATAAATCGTTTAGTATAAGAAAAAATTTATTAATTTTCGATTATTTTTTGTAAAATCTCAATTTTTTGAAATAATAATTATGATGTCTTTAAGAGTTAACAAGTACTCCATTGTACTCAAAATTTTGAACATAAATGCCAAAATCTGAACTCAACTTTTTTTTAAATAGCTAGGAAGAGAGGGAAAACAATTCTCTCTCTCTCTCTCTCTCTCTCTCTCTCTCTCTCTCTCTCTCCATGTTTTGCGAAAATAAAAATGATAGTTATAAGATTGCCAGGTGTTTTGCTCAGACATTCTTGTGATCTTGTGGTACCATATTTTAGAGAGCTTTGGTTTCTAAGCACTATAAAAACCAGCACCTAACATTATATCATAGGTCACCATCATCGAATAGGAAGCTCATTCAAATTTCTTTTTATTTTTTTTATTTTTTTTCGTGGAAGCATTAATATTTATATATATTGCCAACAAAGGCATTAATCTCTTGCACAGTTTTCACACTAATCAACATGGGAATCTTTGTGCCGTTCACATCATCTCTGCATGTCTTTTGTACAAAAACTAATACAATTTCTTAAAATCACCATGCAAGTTGAAGAACTTTGTGTATTCAATATCCTACAAACAAACAAATTTTCTAGTGATTTCAATCGGAATTTGAGCAGTTTACAAAATGGAGGAATGAGAGAGAGGGAGAGAGCATGTTTCTTCACTGAAATGATCATAAAGAATGTCTAAGGGACCTACAATATTTTTGTTTTTATTTTTTTATTTTTTCACTTTCGACACTTTTTGTTGTTGTTGATAATTTACTTTCGACACTTTGCTGCGCTAGAGTCGACAACTACTTACTAATAAGTGTGCTATTTGGTGGTTGTATTGCAGTATGGCCATAAATTATGTTTTGTCCAAAGTTCAGTACTTTTTCATTCTGGTAAAAAAAAGGTTATAAAAAGTTCTCAATCATGCCATAAATAGGAGGAATATTCTCATGGGCAAAAATGAAATTAACATACACCTTGAAAACAGAAGACATGGTAAAAAAAAAAGAATAGTTATACGTGCATGCAGCAGTACTACAAGAATGTATATATCAAAATGCAACAAAAGAAGTATTATAATTCTAGTTAGTAAACGATGCAACTTGTTATAATTTATCTATCTATCTATTTATTTATTGTTTGCAGAGAAAACCTCTAGTAGTAAATGACGCAACTTATCTCTGCAAACAGAAATCATTTTTAAAAATGCATTTGTTAGTTTTATCAAGAGATTATTTTCAGTATAAAAAAACCCATTAATGTCTCTCTCTCTGGGCTCGAGAGAGGAAAAAATGAAAATAAAAAATGAAAAACAACTAAAAGTCATTTTTCATTTCTTTCTCATTTTACACTAAACTAAGAAAATCGTTTTCTTTTTCTCTTTTTGTCTTTATTACGTCAAATGACGTTTTAGAAATGTTTTAATTTTTTTTCCTCAAAAAACGGGATCAATTTTAAACACGGCTAAAATTTTTAAAAATAAAAAATACTAAATTCATATCCCGATATAACATATAGTATTAAAATGAAAATTTTCCTGTATTTATTTATATATCAATGCAATGTAATTACGTGAATTGAATAGAGAAATG